CTAATTAATTGGCATTTCCGACTAAGATCAAGCGGCATGTGTCCAAGCAAGCAAACTCTGGGACGGTTTCCATCTTGCGGTTCTCATCAGCAAAGCAAGCTTGTTATTATATTAGCGATCCAGAATCCCGATAATGCAATGAATTAATTATAATACCCAGGTGGGGATTACACGACGGTACTTCAGTGGACATGGTGGTAAACGTAGCGGGGCTTTAAGTGGCTCAAGGTATAATTTAAACGTCTGTGGAGTTCACTCATTTTTACGGCAAGTAGAAGAACCCCATAGCTGTCAATCCCCTTATCAGTGCCTATCTTAATTACAGACCAATTCAGACCTTATTGGGAACCCAGTGCCCTTCTAAACATCAACGTTCATCCTACAAAGTCCCGTCACAAGGGAGAAACACAAATAGACATATGTTTTTCCCCGTATTGAAATGACTGTACACCGTACAGACCTGAAAACACAATTTCCCTGCCCAAGAATACGGGGTAAACCGTCTGGGTTGACAGCTATGGAACTCGTTGTTCACTTTTGAACCCATGACTGCGGCTTAATTAGGGTGGTCATTCAGCAGCGGACTGACCACTTTTATTACTGTTTTGTGATGGAACAATACTCTATCACAAAACATACGATAGAAAATAAATATTCTTATACAAGCGCTTTAACCGATCTGTATAAGACTACTCGAGACGCGGCTAGTGGTGCACAGCACACGTGTAGGCACCTCACACAAGTCACCCACCTCTGTATTTACTCATCCTATGAAGACCACTCATATAACCATCGGCCGTGGTCAATCTACTGCTGGATGAAGGCCTCCTCCGGTTCCACGCTTGGCTATAACCATCAACAATGACACACGTGGGTGTGTAAGAACGTGGGTTGCAGAGCACACGAAGAAGGTTGGATGGAGGCTTGATCTGCAGCTGCTGAGAAGAGTTCATTTGGGGCTTGGGCAGGACAAGTTGTGGGCTGAACGGGATTCATGGCCGATGGTGAAGAGACTTAACAGCTCGTGTGCACGGTGATGAAGAGACTTAGCAGCTCGTGTGCACGATGATGAAGAGACTTAGCAACTCGTGTGCAAGGTAATGAAGAGACTTAGCAGCTCGTGTGCACGGTGAAGAGATTTAGCAGCTCGTGTGCACGGTGATGAAGAGACTTAGCAGCTCGTGTGCACGGTGATGAAGAGTATTAGCAGCTCGTGTGCACGGTGATGAAGAGACTTAGCAACTCGTGTGCAAGGTAATGAAGAGACTTAGCAGATCGTGTGCAAGGTGATGAAGAGATTTAACAGCTCGTGTGCACGGTGATGAAGAGACTTAGCAGCTCGTGTGCACGGTGATGAAGAGACTTAGCAACTCGTGTGCAAGGTAATGAATAGACTTAGCAGCTCGTGTGCAAGGTGATGAAGAGACTTAGCAGCTCGTGTGCAAGGTGATGAAGAGACTTAGCAGCTCGTGTGCACGGTGATGAAGAGACTTAGCAGCTCGTGTGCACGGTGATGAAGAGACTTAGCAGCTCGTGTGCACGGTGATGAAGAGACGTAGCAGCTCGTGTGCATGGTGATGAAGAGACTTAGCAGCTCGTGTGCACGGTGATGAAGAGACTTAGCAGCTCGTGTGCACGGTGATGAAGAGACTTAGCAGCTCGTGTGCACGGTGATGAAGAGACGTAGCAGCTCGTGTGCATGGTGATGAAGAGACTTAGCAGCTCGTGTGCACGGTGATGAAGAGACTTAGCAGCTCGTGTGCAAGGTGATGAAGAGACTTAGCAGCTCGTGTGCAAGGTGATGAAGAGACTTAGCAGCTCGTGTGCACGGTGATGAAGAGACTTAGCAGCTCGTGTGCACGGTGATGAAGAGACGTAGCAGCTCGTGTGCATGGTGATGAAGAGACTTAGCAGCTCGTGTGCACGGTGATGAAGAGACTTAGCAGCTCGTGTGCAAGGTGATGAAGAGACTTAGCAACTCGTGTGCAAGGTAATGAAGAGACTTAGCAGCTCGTGTGCACGGTGAAGAGATTTAGCAGCTCGTGTGCACGGTGATGAAGAGACTTAGCAGCTCGTGTGCACGGTGATGAAGAGACTTAGCAGCTCGTGTGCACGGTGATGAAGAGACTTAGCAACTCGTGTGCAAGGTAATGAATAGACTTAACAGCTCGTGTGCACGGTGATGAAGAGACTTAGCAACTCGTGTGCAAGGTGATGAAGAGACTTAGCAGCTCGTGTGCACGGTGATGAAGAGGCTTAGCAGCTCGTGTGCACGGTGATGAAGAGACTTAGCAGATCGTGTGCAAGGTGATGAAGAGACGTAGCAGCTCGTGTGCATGGTGATGAAGAGACTTAGCAGCTCGTGTGCACGGTGATGAAGAGACTTAGCAGCTCGTGTGCACGGTGATGAAGAGACGTAGCAGCTCGTGTGCATGGTGATGAAGAGACTTAGCAGCTCGTGTGCACGGTGATGAAGAGACTTAGCAGCTCGTGTGCAAGGTGATGAAGAGACTTAGCAGCTCGTGTGCAAGGTGATGAAGAGACTTAGCAGCTCGTGTGCACGGTGATGAAGAGACTTAGCAGCTCGTGTGCACGGTGATGAAGAGACGTAGCAGCTCGTGTGCATGGTGATGAAGAGACTTAGCAGCTCGTGTGCACGGTGATGAAGAGACTTAGCAGCTCGTGTGCAAGGTGATGAAGAGACTTAGCAACTCGTGTGCAAGGTAATGAAGAGACTTAGCAGCTCGTGTGCACGGTGAAGAGATTTAGCAGCTCGTGTGCACGGTGATGAAGAGACTTAGCAGCACGTGTGCACGGTGATGAAGAGACTTAGCAGCTCGTGTGCACGGTGATGAAGAGACTTAGCAACTCGTGTGCAAGGTAATGAATAGACTTAACAGCTCGTGTGCACGGTGATGAAGAGACTTAGCAACTCGTGTGCAAGGTGATGAAGAGACTTAGCAGCTCGTGTGCACGGTGATGAAGAGGCTTAGCAGCTCGTGTGCACGGTGATGAAGAGACTTAGCAGATCGTGTGCAAGGTGATGAAGAGACTTAGCAGCTCGTGTGCACGGTGATGAAGAGGCTTAGCAGCTCGTGTGCACGGTGATGAAGAGACTTAGCAGATCGTGTGCACGGTGATGAAGAGACTTAGCAGCTCGTGTGCACGGTGATGAAGAGACTTAACAGCTCGTGTGTACGGTGATGAAGAGACTTAGCAGCTCGTGTGCAAGGTGATGAAGAGACTTAGCAGCTCGTGTGCAAGGTGATGAAGAGACTTAGCAGCTCGTGTGCACGGTGATGAAGAGACTTAGCAGCTCGTGTGCACGGTGATGAAGAGACGTAGCAGCTCGTGTGCAGGGTGATGAAGAGACTTAGCAGCTCGTGTGCACGGTGATGAAGAGACTTAGCAGCTCGTGTGCACGGTGATGAAGAGACGTAGCAGCTCGTGTGCATGGTGATGAAGAGACTTAGCAGCTCGTGTGCACGGTGATGAAGAGACTTAGCAGCTCGTGTGCAAGGTGATGAAGAGACTTAGCAGCTCGTGTGCAAGGTGATGAAGAGACTTAGCAGCTCGTGTGCACGGTGATGAAGAGACTTAGCAGCTCGTGTGCACGGTGATGAAGAGACGTAGCAGCTCGTGTGCATGGTGATGAAGAGACTTAGCAGCTCGTGTGCACGGTGATGAAGAGACTTAGCAGATCGTGTGCAAGGTGATGAAGAGATTTAACAGCTCGTGTGCACGGTGATGAAGAGACTTAGCAGCTCGTGTGCACGGTGATGAAGAGACTTAGCAGATCGTGTGCAAGGTGATGAAGAGATTTAACAGCTCGTGTGCACGGTGATGAAGAGACTTAGCAGCTCGTGTGCACGGTGATGAAGAGACTTAGCAACTCGTGTGCAAGGTAATGAATAGACTTAACAGCTCGTGTGCACGGTGATGAAGAGACTTAGCAACTCGTGTGCAAGGTGATGAAGAGACTTAGCAGCTCGTGTGCACGGTGATAAAGAGGCTTAGCAGCTCGTGTGCACGGTGATGAAGAGACTTAGCAGATCGTGTGCAAGGTGATGAAGAGACTTAACAGCTCGTGTGCACGGTGATGAAGAGACTTAGCAGCTCGTGTGCACGGTGATGAAGAGACTTAGCAGCTCGTGTGCACGGTGATGAAGAGACTTAGCAGCTCGTGTGCAAGGTAATGAAGATACTTAGCAGCTCGTGTGCACGGTGATGAAGAGACTTAGCAGCTCGTGTGCACGGTGATGAAGAGACTTAACAGCTCGTGTGCACGGTGATGAAGAGACTTAGCAGCTCGTGTGCAAGGTGATGAAGAGACTTAGCAGCTCGTGTGCAAGGTGATGAAGAGACTTAGCAGCTCGTGTGCACGGTGATGAAGAGACTTAGCAGCTCGTGTGCACGGTGATGAAGAGACGTAGCAGCTCGTGTGCATGGTGATGAAGAGACTTAGCAGCTCGTGTGCACGGTGATGAAGAGACTTAGCAGCTCGTGTGCACGGTGATGAAGAGACTTAGCAGCTCGTGTGCAAGGTGATGAAGAGACTTAGCAGCTCGTGTGCAAGGTGATGAAGAGACTTAGCAGCTCGTGTGCACGGTGATGAAGAGACTTAGCAGCTCGTGTGCACGGTGATGAAGAGACGTAGCAGCTCGTGTGCATGGTGATGAAGAGACTTAGCAGCTCGTGTGCACGGTGATGAAGAGACTTAGCAGCTCGTGTTCAAGGTGATGAAGAGACTTAGCAGCTCGTGTGCAAGGTTGGTGCTGGGTGGATGTGGGGAGCGGTGGTGTCGCGGTGAACGCCGCTGCACTTACAAACCCGGTGACCCGAGTGCGATTCCCGATCACGGCCAACACCAGCCGTGACGATTATCCGAACCGGTCCTGGGCCTCCCCTATTTCGACTCAGACTCAAATTTAGTGGCCCGGTGCGGTGTGTGGTAAACATCGCCACTGGGGAGACAAAGGCGGCCGGGCGTGGTGCTGGCCAACCACCCCCTCGTGTGCCACTGTGCCGGCCTCGCTAACACCACTTGCCCCAACAGTGTTAAGGCTATACGGGGTGATGTTTGTCTTTTCTGGGCGTATGTTTACATTGCACATCGTTAAGAGGCCTTCATCCAGCAGTGGAGTGACTTAATGTCTAAGAACGGCACTGCATTTGGCGGTAAACGCTTGGACGTTCACCCCGTGACCTGGAAGCGTAAAACCACGACAGTTACCACGGAATGGCGCCAAAAATGTTTAATATTTCACTTGTTTAATTTAAAAACCAAAGGGCGAGGTCGGCCGGACATCTCGTTTGACAATCAACTATGTTGCTCTTCATTGACTTCCTCTCCCATTATTTTAATTATTACAGATTGAAAAAAAAGCAACACAACTTTCTTTAAATGACTGTTTGAGACGGCCCACTTTATAATACGTAGAGCGCATGCGCGGACCTTTAAATTTCCGTGCGCCCCATTGGCCGAAGGCGCCTCGGGGAGCACCGCCCTTGGAGGCGTTGACCAATCGCGTGCAGCCATGGCGAGCGGCACCGCGCGTGTGCGCTACCAAATGCGAGTGCGCGACCCGGAAGCTCTGCAAAAAGGCGGGAGAATTTTAAGCGGGAAAAAAACTCTTACCAGCAACGGCCACGGCCGTTCCGTTTCGCAGCAGCAGCACGAAGTACTGACAATTGCAGCAGTACTGCAATCGTCGCTGTAGCAACAGTATCATCGGCAGCAATAGTATCTAGAGTAGTATTGGCAGTAATACAATCAGTAGCAGTTACTCTGTGTGGTACCATCTGCGGAAGAACTGCAGCTCCGTGTACCATCAGCGACAGTTGTGGCAGCAGGGCTATAGTAACAGCAGCAGCAGCAGTACTCTAATATTGCAGCAGCAGAAGAATCTGCAACAATACCCATGTCGGACAGCCTCGTGTTTCGGACGCCCACCAAGGGGGCTGCCGTGTCCGTCATCCGGCCCGTGCCCCGGCCGCCCGAGGGGACCCCGACCAGCCCGGGTCTCGGTGACTGCATGGTCTACCCGTGGAAGTGGGGAGAGAGCGCGGGGCGCGCCGAGCTGAGCCCCGGGCCACGGCGAGCAGCGTCTCCGAACTTCGCGTCCAGCCCCGACACCCCCTGCAAGGTCCGTAGACAATCCACCCCTCGTGTACGCGTCACTCTTTTTTTTGTCGTCTCCATTTGTTAACGTCCGTCAAACGTTACGCGTGCATTTTTTGTCGTAATTATAATGATCGTTGTCGTGAACATCAACACACACACACACAAACACACACACTAACCAGTTCAGTGTCGTGTTGGATGTTTTAATTCGTTGCAAGTTAATTTCCAGCGAGCGCAGTGGGTGAGTCAAAGGGGCCATGTGCGCTGCGGCCGCGTGGTCGTTAAAATAATAAAAATAAAAAAGCGGGAAAACGCAGCCCGGGCGCTTTCACTTCGCGTTTTAAACAACAACAACCGCGCCCTAACGCTTTAAAGATATATATCTGCGTTCCCATCACGCTCCTTGGTTGTGTGAAGAAACCGAATTATATATATTTTTATATACACTACGAAGAAAATAACAAACAATAAAGTTGGCAGCTGGGGGACACTGCACCGCCTTCCTGCTGCCTTGACCCCGGGCTCTCAAGGAGCCACCCGAGCCCGTCCACGGCTTTCCAATCATCCCGAGCAGCTGCGTCCAGCGGCGGAGGATCGCCCGCGAGGAGATGAATCGCACGAGTCACGGCCGTGTTTAGAAACGAACCGGACCGCTGAGGGATTGAGAGGGTGAAACGTTGCCCGCAGCAGTCGATGAGCGCGCCACTTGGCGGGAGCGTGTGCGGTGGTGTCCGTGTCCAATGAAAGGCGGCGGCGGCGTGGACAAAGAGCCCCGTGTCTGTGTGTGTTGTCTGGGTCGTGGTTGGTGGTTGTGTTTGGGTGGTTACTAACTGGCACTGTGTGTAGAAAGCGGTTAAGATAGTGGCGGGCACTTGTGCACACAATCATACAGCCATCGCGGCTGAAGTTTTACTTGCCCGTCCTAAATGATTGATTCATTCACCAATACGAGTATACGCTACTGTCCAACACGTCAAATTTTTCATTCACTATTCCACTCCGTTAGCTCTCTGCTCCTATCCAGCCAATTTTTTTACGTGCACATCGTCTCGTTTACCTACCAATTAAATCACCGACCCAAGTACTCTTATTTGTTTCTCTCACTAGATCCACTCGTTCTCTGATCCAATCAGCCATTCAAACACTCAATCACTCTCAAAGATTCACTCACCCAATACATTTCTTCGTGAATACACCGAGTCCCCCATAAAACCGATTCAATTAGCCATGCAATCACTCAATCGCCCATGCAAATATCCACACACGGGTCCTCACTGGCCCATCATCAACTCGTTCGTTCACTAAATGACCACACTCCCCCCCCGCCTGTGTTCCACTCTGTGCTAAACACAGGACAGCGGTAAGCGTGGGCGGCCCAGGGCCGAGGTGATCCGGGAGCTCATCAACGCCGGCACCCTCTCCCCAAGCCGCATCCGCTGCCGTGTCTGCAGCCGCGTGTTCCCGCGGGAGAAGTCGCTCCAGGCCCACCTCCGCACCCACACCGGTCAGCCCACTTCACCACCATCTGTCCCCGTGCAAGCCCTCCAGGCGTTTGAAGTTTAGGTTTCTTATTTTCCACCACCCCCCCCCCCTTTCATGCCCTCGTCGCGTGTGACATTGCATTGCAATGACAGCCGAGCCCGTTAAAGCGTGTGTTGCAGCTGAGCCCAGGCAACCCTTATTCAATAACTCGAGCTCAAATGCATGCTCTTGGGTTACCTTCCCCCCCCTCTGGCTTTAAACCGAATAAACGGTTCATGGGCGGTTGGGTCACATGACGGACAGTGGTGCAGTCATGGCAGGAACACGTAATTACCATTGGCCGGAGTTGCTTACCCCAAGTGGATTTTTTTCATTGCCCATTTTTTTTCCACAGAGTACTAAGCAGTACTTTATTTTCAAAGATGTAAAAAATGTAGCGTGTAATGCATACTCTAACTTTTTGCATGTAACTCGTTTTTTTTTGGAAATATATTATTCGTGATTCATAAAATGAACGGACTTTGATTTAACTAAAACTGCGTTAGATGACAGCTTGTCTTGGGAGTCTCAAATAGTGTCTACGGTTGTAGCCAAATTAACATGGCATTTCCAGCGCAATGTAAAACACTACTTAGAACTAAAGCATAATTTTGGGTGAAAGCACATGGTGAAGTTTGTCTTTGGCGAGCAAGGCTAAATAAATGTTACTTCCCATTCTTGTCTGCGAGCAGGCGAGCGCCCATACCGATGCGAATTCCCAAACTGCGGCCGAGCATTTGCACAGAGCGGCCAACTCAAGACGCACCAGCGTCTGCACACAGGCGAGAAGCCGTTCATCTGCTCAGAGCCAGGTAATAGCGCACTGTGTCTCTTTAACTTGACAATACCACAGAACCGGGGCATGCTGTGGGCGGGGCTTGTTGGTAAGGAGGGAAGAAGTACTTGTGTGTTTTTTAAATGCCATGTATTTTGTGTGTGTATGTGCGCGTACACATCCGACGTGTACACTCAGGCTGCGAGAGTAGATTCACTCACGCGAACAGACACTGCGCAGCCCACCCGTACGCTCGCTTGAGACGCGAGGAGGGTGACCCGGCCTGCTCCGGAATGGAGGAAAAGTCGTCGCACAGCCGGCGAGCCAACCAGGAAAACTTGGACGAGCACAATTGGGCGGACAAGTGAGACGATTTTTCCTTTCTACAAACCGCTGCCAGTCCCCGTAGTTTTTTCGACAGTGATGTCATGATGGTGAGAGTCCACTGGCACCTCGCACGTTGATTTTGGTAAAGCGCCATGAGCGACCGTTGCTGCAGTTTTAGGAACATTCATTTCAGCCTCGTGTCATTTGGCCACGACACATTTTAATTCGACACTGCACCACACACGTTTTTACAGACACTGGTAGCATTTTAAGCCAGCCCTCTATACAGGTAGGAAAAGTGTGCAGATCAGGTACACATGGGATATGTTTAAAAAGCTTTTTTCTTTACGTTTTGTTGACTACAGTTCCAATTGCTGGAAACCCAAGGAGAATGGAACAGCCCTGCTTCTGAAGGAGAGAGGAAACGACTGGGATCTTGGAGTCAGCCCTGCTCGCGACCTGAACTCCACTTGCGACCTGAACCCCGATGACGTGGCCCAGAGGCACTGGCAGGGGGCGGAGCAACAACTGCCGCTCTCCCCACCTTTGTCTCCCGCCGAGCAGTGGCATGGCGTCTCAGCTCTTGCCCAGTTGGCAGAGCTGGCTGCAGAAATGCCCTCCCTGTAATTAGACGTACGTTATTTACCCCCCACCCACCCACGTCCATTTCCTGCGAGCTTCCAGCTCACATTTGCTATTCGTTCACAGCAACGTGAGACACGTACTGGTTTTTGGGTAACGGGAGAAGAAAAGCTTATTTAAAGTGGTAAGCGCAAGTGGCTTGAGACACAATTGTTCGTCATGGCGCACAGCCCTCAAATTGTTTCTGAATGTTTGACGTTAACATCAGTGGCCCTGTTCGTTCCTTTGGATGTTATATTCGCCTGTAATGGATAATACCGCAGTCTGCTATGCTAGACAAGTGTGCCGTATGTATTTATGTTGAACTTCTTTCGCACTGTACATAGCCAACCGTGTTAATCGGAGGTGCGTAATAGGTGGTCAATGGCAAGAGCCTCAGCAGTTCAATGTTATCTTATCCCTTCGTTATCAGACAAGGTCACACGTGTCCCGGAGGGGAATAATTGGCAGCTTGGGGTGTGCGAGGGTCTTGTGGACGAGCAGGGTGAATGACATGAATTAAGAACATGGCGAGACAATTTAACGTAAAGCCTATTTTTACGAGACGGCACCAGCGACACTCCAGTTTTTCCACACAGCTGCGAGTCCACGCAACGCCAGTGGCGACATCCTTGGAGCTTCAACTCGTGGAACGCTCGCTCCGACGACGAGAACGTAGTTGCTACGGCAGCCGAATTTGCAGGAGTGGTACGAGTCTTTTGGCATCCCAAAGACGAGCAGGAAGAGCTGTGGGCCCATCTCCCTGAAAATAGGGGAAGCCGTCTTGAAATCCTCGCCTGGCGACCCCCGTCGATGCTCTCAGCAGTCGCCACCTCGTCCACCTCTTCAGTCTCTTATTGGCTTCTGCGCCTCATAGTGCGGCTATGATAATAACAAGCACACTAATATTGTCACTAATCGTTTTACCGTAAAAAAAATATTTGTACAGAGCCCTATATTACACCCATCGATATTCCTCTTCCGCAATGGTAATTATGATCAATCCCATTTCACCGTGGCACCCAATCCAAAATTTACTTACAACGCCTACAAACCGATGCAGCAGCCATGGTTTAACTCGAAAACAAGTCACGTCTTATGGGAAATGCTTCGTTTTATCCACAGGCTTTTATTAGAAAGAAGTGTAAATCCTACGTTTCCGAATCTAAACCAAAACCTTTTGCACTTTTGTTCTTTGGAGGCCTTCCTGGGTTTTGGCCCTGTACATAGAGGGTGGGAGGGGGTAAATCTCTGCTTGTCTGTTTGATACGCATTGTAAATTTAGACCTTTTGCCAATGTTTGTATATTCTGCTTCGGGCTTCTGGCTATCAGTGACACTAATTGCATTCATTCTCTCTGTTGGTTTGCATACAGAACTACATTTTTAAAAGTACAATAGTATGTTTTAAGTAATTGCGTTTTCATTAACAAGACCGACCAGTTACATAGTGCACTTTGACGTTTATTCACACCCTTGCCGTGCGTTGATATTTGACCGATAAGTTAGAATACACAAGCGCTTAACCTAACTGTAGAGAAAGGATTAGTGATATTATTCTTAACGTATAGAGCCAACTTAAAGCACTGCCCTGCACAGATGTTGCAGTCGTGAGGCTTCACAGCTTCTGAAGTTGAAGTGTGATTTAAAAATCAATAATCTGTTTTACAGAAGGGGAGTTTATAGCAGGGCGTTTTGATATAAAGGAGCCTGCCATTACTGCCTGGGAGCGTGTTGAACACGGAGGTATTCTGTGGATATGATTGATTTGTCAAGACGTTTAGGTTGTGGCAGCAGAATTGTTTTGAAGGCATGGGTCTGATCATGGCCACGAAGAGGCGTTTTAAAATATCATTGGCATTGCCAGCCAGAAAGCCCTCCTGAATGTGTCATTGTATGAATGTATAGGTTTTATCTTAAATAAAAAAAGATATACAAGTACTTAAACACTGCTTCTTGTCTACAGTCTTAGGAGCAGTTTGCTGAAGAAAGCTGGGAGAGGGTTATTGTGGGGGATATGCATCAAGGGTTATACATCAGGTGACCTCACGATGGAAACTGAGGCTCATCGTTTGATTTGCTGATTTTATTTGATCGACAATCAAAATTCCTTCAGTCAAAATGTAAGCAACGCATTTCCCATTGTACAAACAGTATTTTGTTCCCAAAGTTATAATCAACCAGATTCACTCAATTCTTTGAAATGTGCATTAAAATATAGGAAATATTTTAACTTCCAGTAGCTTCACAAAACCATCAGTACGTTCAGCTATTGGCAATGCAAATCTTGACATGCAGAGATCAATAGTAAAAGGAAACACTTTCTTGAAGTGTGGAATTTTAAGAGTTGTGACCCTCCGCTTGGTCCCCCCCTTCTCCGTCTTCACTTTTTCTTCTTTACCTGTAATGTAAACACATTCCACGCGCATGGCTGAAGGGTCATATCTGCGTGGGAGATCAGGAAACACCATCCCTTTAGTCGATTCACACCGCGGACCGTACGTTCAGAAACGAGATTTTGTTTTGATTCGACCTTTTATTTGTTGTTTCGCTTTACAAAGGGTTTTAAATCATCTCAACACGATTCACAGAAGCTACTAAATCAAGGTTTTGCTCTCATTCGCAAGACGAATTGCTGAGTAAAATCAATAGCGGACCCTAAAGTTACAAACCCATTGCGCATCCTACAAATGCGTTGTTTAAAAGGCATTAAACGAAGAAGAGTAGCGTGTGGAACAGCACACCAGGTTGCAGAGCATTCGAATTAACTGATAAAAACAAATCAAGATTGATAAAAACAAGTTTAATGGGTGTGTAACTCCTGAGTTGGTGTATAACAATCATTATGTGACTGGTTGATTCTGAACATTTCTGTGAGATACTGTGTTTCGATAATTTCTCAACATTAGCTTTGTTTGGACAGTCAGCACCTGTAACCATTAATATTGGGTATATCCCTCAAGAAGATCGATCGTAAGACCTCCACCTGTAGCCATAAAATACGACAAGGCTCCAACTTCCATTACCTTTGTTATATCTGCGCATAGCCACGGCAGAGGCTGGGAGTTTACAAACACCGACATTAAAACACATCTTGGTGGAGGAATAGATTTCAAGTGTTTTTCATTTGATTTAAAATTGTAGGGCAACATTATGGGCCACGCCGCACACCTTTTGCTTGGCACTGTGATTCTGATGTCCTGGCCCCTGCCGAAGTAGCTTTGGAAAGACGGTGGCTCTCCTCCGGTCAGCCATTGAAATTGCTCTGAGGGTGCTGCCAGGCCGTACAGAAATTAGTATTTTAAGATTTGCTACTTATGTAAATGTGTACCGATGTAGGCCCTGTCAATAACTAGAGTGCTCCATCTCGGCAGCGCAGTAATATTAAGAGGGTCACCTATGCGTGACCATGGGGAGGGGGGCGGCTCGGACTGCATTATTGCAGCTGAGGATTCCAGAAATTGTTGATGTGACAAATGACTGCATAAAGTAATGTAAGGTGGAACCCTGTTTTGGTGAAGGTGGCCTTTCAGAGATGCACACTTAGCTGCAAGGCCTACGACATTCAGGGGGGGGGGGGGGGGGGGGGGAGGGTTTGCCCGATGTTAATGGCTGCGGCCGCTTGCCGAAGCCTTAATAAAGAAATACATCTTTCCTCAAGTATGAAATACAAAATATTCTCGTGAAAAGTGGGCCTAAGTTTTTGGATTCAGAAATGGAAAAAAATCAAGTTAAGCAACGAAAGAGTTTAAAAAGCAGTTGCAACAACACATCTTGCACACGCTTCACGAAACATTTCCTCTTGACAAAAATACAAGAGCTAAAAAAATCTAGAAGCGCAAATGGATTCACGGCACCTGCACGGTGATAGTCCTGCCTACTCTGCTGAACTTAAAAGAGCAAATGATCCATCGCACGGGTTTCCATGTCATCACGGAACCCAAGAGACATTCAGGACGATAACCAATTACAATGGCCTTCGTGAAGCCTCGCAAACTTAAATGATCCCGACAAAAGTGGGCGGCCATGCCAGGTTAAAACGATCACTTTGACATTTTGCAGCGAAGCCTCTTTCTCAACACAAATCATACCGCATATTCAAATGACGTGATCTCAGGTCCTCTTTAAAAAGAATTGTCACTGCTATTTCAAGCATCGTTGTCTTGAGTAATGGGCTATAAGCCACTACATTGAAATGACTGTGACCGACTCGGTTCAAATTTACAGTGTACCGTCCTCGCATTACTTCTCATACACACACACCAACGACTCGCGGATCTGTACACTTTGCGGAAATAACATCAACACACCGACGTTATCCTTATCTTGTTCGCGGGCAGAGCGGAACTCTGCCAAAACTATTCTGTGCAGTATGCCAACATCAACTAGCTCTTATTTCACAGAAATGCAAGATTAAATATTGTAACAGATATTACTCATCCCAAGGGTTAAAAACTGCACTGTGACAAGCCTTTACATTTGACCTCAACATGATCCGCAGACCTGACTAAAAGCAAATCCTCTAGAATTTGACAGCTTAGGTCGATGCACCAACCCCCTGAATAAAAACAAAGCGCCGGCAAGAGAATGTGCAGGATGCTAATTGAGCAGAACTGCTGCAGTCTGTCCATCCGTCCGTTCTCACTTCATTCCGGTTTGCGAAAAAAATAACTTTTCCATGGAAGCAAAACGATTTCCGTTTCAAATGGACGCTGGCAAACGGCGATTTGACAGCCGCGACAAGTCCACGCCACCCAGGCAGTCTGTTGTGTAATCGGATTTTTTTTTTTAAAGCAGAACTCAATAAACAAGACAGCGGGAGGGAATGCCATATATATAAAAAGACAACTTGTATAATTAAACCAATGTGTTGTTTTTTTTCTTTCTTGCCGATGCTTCCTAAATGACCCAATGTGACGTTGGGGAGGGGGGTTACTTTAACGAGCACCGTGGGTCCATAGAGGTGGCCGCGCACACGTCGGCAAACATCGGCCTCGGCTCAGTAACAGTTTCCACGGCTACGTGTGGTGATCCGGAGGGGTCACGCGAGCGATGCGAGCTCTGGGTCCGAGGGGGGGGGGAGACCGCTTTGATGTGACTGGGCTAGCACGTCACGTGAGCCCTGGGTAAGGTTTACCACCTACAGCTTATGAGCACTTCACCACCAGTATTGCGAGAGAGAGCTCAGGCAAATGCCACGCGAAGTGAAGTAAAGCACATAATTTAAAAGTGCGATCGAATGTAGCGCATATAATTTCAAGATGGCATTCTTTGATGTGTGTTTTCGTACAAAGCCAATAATTGCTATGTTCATATCTTGAATGATTACTACAAATGAAATACTGACATAACAAAGCAAAACATTTCAAACAAATTTAAGTTACATCATATGAAACTAATTCTGCACACAACAGTGAACATCAGTATTAGCTTATAACACATTCTCTCATTCACATCACCGTTCACCGTTTGACCCATGGACCGCTATTTACATTGTTAGTGGCGGGCGAGTGTGATTTTGACGTAAAAAAAACGCCTGCGGGCATAACCACATAAACAATACTCACCCAACTGAAACCGCATTGTACAAGGTCTCAGTCAGGCTGCATGCATATCCCACGCTCGTAAAACTTGACATACTTCAAACATCTGCGTCACCCACACAGCCAAACTCGACACTCCACAGCTGGGCAGGCGAGCCCCACCACACCCACTCTCTGCAGCGTTCCGCTTAGCATGGGGCAAGTGTGAAATGTAAAAAAAAAAAATTGCCGATCGGAAAATATCGCAGCGAAAGATTCACCAACACAGCAATGAAACCATAACTTTGATTGGTTTCTTCAGCGACAATTTCTGCCTCGAGGGGACAGGAGCAGCAGTGATGGAATTCACAATCGTCGGAAGTGAAGGGAGGGCAGTGCTTGACCCAGAGAAGAGCTCCAGCGCTTAACAGTCCCCTGCATCATGAAATTAACTTTTCACGGCCGCCAAAACTTTAAGTGGGAGGCGCCGGGTTGGCTTCGACTTTCTCAAAACATGAGCAGCAAACAGAAATGCACAGGTGCATCGTATCTCGGTTCATGTATCTGTTCCTGACAATAGGTACTCTTTGTTCCTTTGTGCAATAACAATCATAACAATAATGCTGTTACTGTGTAGGCTGCTGAGCGCTGGGAACAAGTGCGAGCACCTCCACAAGACGGTGAATCAAACATCGCCTGGATTGGTTGACTGGACCAGCCCAGGCGGTGCAACGGGTGCCCAGTCAGGCGAGGCCAGAGCAATCGAACGATAATTAACTTTCATCGTTTGGTGTTCAGCTAAAGCAAGTATATTAACACCCGACTAGCCCGAAATATTTCTCTCCTTGAGCTAATCTGTAGCGAACACGTTCTCAACGAAAACCCACAGTATTCTCATCGACTCTCTGAGCCCACACCTGATGCACACCACCGATTACCCACACTGCCCCGCTTCGACAATGAGCTGGGTAAGCGTGCGCCATTCCGTGCCAGCACTGGGGCTGGTGAGGGAGCGGGGGATGGGGGTCGCGCGGGGGGGGATGTGCAGTCCCTCGTGGATCAAACCGTGGTGCGCAGGCGCGCATCTCCAAGGCCATTAGACGCATGCTTGGCCTGCGCCCGCTCGCCACGCAGCGTGATGACGGAGTACACCAGACTGCCCGCAATGCTGCTCGCACGCACATACATACACACACACAACCGGCGCACACTGAGCCTACAAGCGCAACAGCCCTGTCGCCAATCCACTGACGGGGTGCACTATGTAACAATAACAACAGAAACTGCCATTTGCCACGTGGGGGTGACATCAACCACGGTGATGTCACAGTCTAGGTTCACATTGAGGCCATATAAAGTGTCAAAGGCTACTGGTAGGAGGTCATAGGGCAGGCGGGTGTTATGGGTTGACTGAATAAGATGACGACTGGCAAAAGCAACCCCTGCGCTCCCCGCACTGTGCCACCTCTATGTGTGTGCTAACGTGCAAAACAAAAAGATCCCCCGTATAGCCTTAACAGACTGTTAGGACACGTATGAAGGCTGACACAGCACACGAGGGGATGGGTGGCCAGTACCACGTCTGGCCGCCTTTGTCTCCATTGTGGCGATGTTAACATGATAACATGTGCACGCACATATAGGCATGCACACATGCACACGCTCCAAGGAGAAGGCTCTGCTTTCTTACCCCGGCTAAAGTGTCAGGGCAAGTGCTGTTAGAGGGTGCCTTTAAAGCGCCAGTAACAAGCATGTAAGGGGTGCCGAGGTCAGGAACTTTGAAAGAGAGCCATGTATTCGGCTATTAAATAATCAAAGTGAATTGAAAGATGAGCTTTCATATGAGCCAGAGAGAAAAGGGACAGCTGTGATGAATGGGACTGCCAATGACACAGACAGGCAAGTGTTCTAACACAACACAAGCGCTATTCACGAAGAAAAGCACTGCAAATCACACGCTTTGTTGTGTAAACTTTGGTGACAATACTGCCAAAACCACCGGTAAACCACATTCCGTAGTGTAACCCAAGGCTTGTTAGCATGTTACTGTTCCCAAAAGCAACACACTGTAATTAGTGTCAGGATGTTTTTTTTGTTCTGTTGCATAGCCTTTTTGCCAATGAGTAAAATTCTCGCAAGCAAGCCTATTACATAAACATGACGAAGAGCTATTTTCAAGTTTATGATTTTTGAGTGAGGCTTTGAACTCTGAGGCTAGAGGCACACATATTCCTCACAGTAAAGACCCCAGCTTATGTGCACCTCCTAAACTCTGATATTACATATTAATGTTGAACTTCTTTTGCACTGTACGTAGCCAACCGTGCTAATCAGACTTGTCCTTGATCCCGAGCTCTTGTCGTTTCCCCAACACACCTCAAAACTCTGTTGGACCTTATACTTCAACCTGGATAACATCTTCTACATCCTGCCTTTCCTTACTCCAGATTTTGCTGCCGAGACCCTCCTTCCTGCCCACACCACTCCCCCACTCGACTTATCTAACTCGCTTTTCTATGACCTCACCACTTCCCTCATCTCCAAATTCCAGACGACCCTAAAATTCTGCTGCTCCATTCAACGCCCGTACCCGTAAACATCACATCGCTCCCGAAACTCCAATCGCTTCCACTTGATCCAAATCTGGTTCTGAATCGATTACAAGACTGCATACACCATATTCAAGATCCTAGATGGATTCACTCCTTGCTAAATCGCTCATCTCACTCGATTCTCCTCCACGCCATCTCCGCTCCAGAAACCAAGCTGTCAAAGCCCCCAGTGAACCTTTGCTCAGTGGGAGGTCGATTGATTTTCTCTATTGCCCCGACAGTTCTGGAACTCCCTTCCCCCAGCCATCCGTGGTACTAATTATCTGCCTCTGTTCGAGTCCAGACTTAGGACCTCCCCCTCTTTCCCTCTCTTTAACCGTCTCTTTCTCTGGTCAACGTAATATACCTCCCGTTATGTAACTTGAGGTGTGCTTGCATTTAAGACTTTATAACAGGTCCTTGCAGGGTGGGCTGGTAGGAACATTGGAAAACATTTTTTTTTACACCCAACAGCACGAGATTTCACTTCGTTAAAGTATTGAAAGGGGATGGACGGACGGACACATTCATCTATTGCAGGCTGGTAGACTCAGTTTACAACTTCGTTCCTACCAGTATAAATCCACATTGTATTGTAGGCGTTGTTGCAATGCATTAGAAACATCAACGTTGCTGGTTTTACACTTCAACCGTTTTCCTCATGTCACTACGTTTTAGTGGAGCAACTAGGTAACTTGAAAACACCCTAAATATGTAAAATCGCTTATTCAAACACACACACACACTGCTTTACACTCACCTGATGTTCAGACCAATAAAATTAGTCCACGAAAAGATGTAGTCCCCTCCAAAGACCATCCCAATATAAGTGATGAAGACATTCTGTTTGGTGGGAAAATAAAAGGACATTCATACGTGACGATAATTATAATCATCATCATAAAAAGAGTAAGATCAATGCGTTATACGGGAAGATATTCCCGAATCAAGATTTTTTTCCCCAGATGCTCCAGATTTGGGATGTTTGGCAAATTGTATTCACGAGTGTTTTATACGTGTGTAGAAACTGAAGCGCCGAGGGAAATCCCACACACACACGTAAATGGGTACACAACCTATTTTATTCAGGGCCATCTCCTGGCCATCTCCCAGCTCAGTTGGATTTTGGAATATTAAAAATCTGTCATCCACCAATCCTTTCCTATAACATATTGGATTGCAAGCATGCACAATCAAGCGTGGAATGTGCCGCACCACGGTTCAATCCATTCAGACCCCCGTAGGCGAGAGGAGAGTTCTTTTTTTCTTCTTGGTTCTTTCGGTTAAGTCACGTAGAAGGGAAATAATAAAAATAAAACATAATACAATAAAATTATCACGACGTTTCGGCCACAACACAAGCAGCCGTCCTCAGGTCAAGAAACAGAACTGTCGGAAAGACAGCGCTCCAATGTTAGTAATAATTGTATTATATTTTATTTTTATTATATTATTATTTCCTTTCTACGTGACTTTACCGAAGGAACCAAGAAGATGAATCCCTGCGGTCACGAAAGCTTTAAATCGAGAGGAGGGTTGCGAGGGTGTGCGGGTCACGAGTGCCTCCTCACCTTAATGCAGCCCACGATGGTTGTGGTGAGGGCAGAGTTCCACTGAGTGCACAGCACAGTGGAATACATGAGAACAAACCTGGAACGCAAACACAAGCCGGTCGTGCCGTGAACTCCCAACGTTCACGAATTACGAGTCGCACAATGTTTAAAAAGGCCACTGGCGATTTGGTTAATGTCACAATACCCGAGTTGTGATTCCGTTGATGAAGCTATTCTTCTTGGTCTCGTTTTTTACGACCTTGTTGTTATTGTTTATTTGGTTTCATTTGTAAAGTTGTGTTCAGTCTGATATCCTCAATTTAAGGTTCGCTTATAATTTGACATATACGGTGCATCAATTATAATTAATCAATTCTCACCTCAGGACCAACAGCAGCGCTAAACACTGCCGAGCATTTGTTAGAAGGGGCCCACTTTGACCTTCTTATTAAGTGATCATCGCATATATACATTCATACTTTATTGTTACTAGGGGTGGGGCAGTGGAACAGCGGTTAGCGCACTCGGTTATGAACCTAGCGATCTGAGTTTGATGCCTGACAAAATCAGGGGTGAATGACTTTTGAACCGGTCCTGGGCCACGTGTCACCACTCTGCACTGACCAGCGTGAAGTATGGTCAAACAAATCCACATGACTCACATGGCATGGGGAGACCTTCATCGATCAGCGGATTTATTTGAAAGTTATGTTTGATTCTATATTTTTTTTACCAAAAACCGTGCCTTTTAAAGCAATAATTTACAAGTGACATCCGCCCTGAGGTTTCCCACGGCACAGCGCATTCCTGCGTATTGAGTAACGGCATTGTTGCTCTAATCCCCGACTCATCTCTGCTCTGTGCTCCAGTGACAAGAACGCAGGCGCTGATGTCTTAAAGGGTTGGCGTGATCCCGACAATGTGGGAAAAGGGTGGACACGGGTCGTTGAAAGCGGAGACCACTCTCGGTTGACTGATCACGAAGCATTGCTCGTGCAACTTTGCATTGCAAAAAGATCGACGTCCCTCTCACCGAATTTTCCACGTATTGTAATTGAGCACGCTCGATATTCTGTCGACCACTGCACGTGCATGATTCGTGGAGGTGACTGGACCACAGTTCACCGAGCTGGTCAGTGTGGGTTGGTGCAAGCACGGAACACAGACATGGATGGATAGTATACAAGTACAATAGATTTTGCTACACTGTCCACTGCTGCTCATCACGTAGACCAACAGTAGCCTACCACACCTGTTTTATGCATGGTGGTCACCCATCCAAGCACTTTTCATGCTCAAAGACGCTTATCCTCTGGAATCTGACGAGTTCCAGGTGATTTTCTAATCGGCCTCTGTATTCCACTATCCCAGTTACTATCAGCGAACATGGGCCCTCACCCATAGCGCATAAACCACGCACAAATACGCACACGTCGGGCGCATACGTAACGCGCAGGGGTGCAATTGTGCTGTGGAGTCATCGGTTAATGGCGCTTGTTGAGTTCAAGCGACACGCATCAAATCGCTCGATTAACTAACGCTGGATAAGACGCGTACCACTTTTCGGGAAGTTAACGGTGGCCGTCTTGTGGGGTGGCTCTTGCCCCACCATAGCAGCGTGGAATTTCTACCACCGTCTCACGGCTGTAAACAGCACTCCAGTGCCTCGCCAAAGCGCATTTCAACAGGAAACCACTTTTAAGTGATTTTATATTTGTTTTTACTGTGCATATTTACTCTCACTCCCAGTTGACCACTCACATCTGCCTGTCTGTTTAAAATAACACGGGCTGTAATCTTCCTTTTCCCAGGGGGCAAAAAGATAAAAACCGCAAGTAGAATGTGCTCCACATTGTTGTTCTCTTTGTTGAACAAGCCATTACACGTCGGGGTATGTCCAGGGTTACCTACCCCATAATGCAGGAGAGGAGAAACTGTACGACAAAGAGAGGATCAGCCCAGCCAGAAAACTCCAAAGCCTGCGGTGCCGGAAACATAAACACGTTTATTATGCAACTTAACAAAACTGTGTAGAAGTAATATAGATATTTACAGAGCTTTGCCAATCAACTGCTGAATGAAAGCCTCCCCATGCTCTTGTCAGTAGTGGGGATTGTTTTTACTGACCATACTTCGCTACGCTAACCAGTGCAGATATGTGATGGGCGTGGGGGCAGGCTACGACTGGTTCTAGTATCACTCACAACACCAATGTCAGTCGTGGTCGCAAATCGGACTGAGGTCACAGTGCTCACAGCGCAGTGCATTAAACCTCTGCGCCACCGCTCCAACAAATTTAAAATATCCCCCCAAATGACCTATTGATGAATCTTAAACAAAGAGCGTGGTATTCCAAGGTCACACCAGTTCACAACTTTCGCAATCTTTGAATGAGCAGTCTTGTGCTGCGTCCCTGGGTGCTTGCATTCCTGTGAACTCTCCCATGCAGATCTCCCCCCTGCCCGCTCCCCTCCTCCTCCTTCACGCCTACTGGCTGCATCCCAAACCCTTTTGCCCCCCACCCACCTCACCAGCTTTAAGCGGGCCAATGGTGTGACACCGCACACAATGAGAAATTGACGCTGCCCCCCCCATCGCCCCCCGCACTCCAGTCCCAGCTCCCGTCACTTTTCCCTGCTCCCTCCTGCGGTGGCTCTCTGAGCCCCCCTTTGTCCGAGGCTCCTTAAAACTGAGCGCTGGCCAAAAACAGTTGGCACAACAGCGCCCAGGGTTTAACCGCGCAAGCTGCGGCGCTAGTCGGGATGGGGGCCAGGCGAAGGAGTATAGCCGTCTTCTGTGGATGGCATCGGACGTCATGTTCTCCCGTGCTGGAGTGTGGCGCGTGCAGCACACAGTGGTCCGCGCTCACCTTGTCCACGTCGCCAGTGACGTGCGCTATCAGCATCGTGGGCACGATCATGAAGAGCGCGTTGTAGAACAACAGCCCATACTTGCCCAGCTCCTGAAGGGAAGACCTTTACTTTAGTGGGGGACTCGAGCAACCCAACGATGAGGCGCGCAGATTGCAGCCGCCACGGGTCAAAGTGGTGGGCATGCGCTCGCTGGCTATGGATGCCAGGACGCCACGAGGCCAATAAATACAAAAACGATTAAATGACGCCCGCTCGTTGCTTGCACACGTGGCCTGAAAACATATTTAACTTTTCCAAACGCACGCATTGCAAAAGATAGTCCTTTGCTTTCACGTATAATTTGCATTCACTAGCGGACTGCGTGCCGCAGTAGCTCCGATGTCTGTGTACCCTGGCACTGTACCTTCGTATCAAGCTTCTGCTTTATGTAAACTCCATTGGCGGCTGTTAAGATGTCGTTGAGCAGGATGAAGACATAGCCCTGGAGGTCAAAGGCCAGGTCAGAGCTGGGGAAGGAAGAGGGCAAAGGCCACCGGTCAGCCCATGGCACAGCACAAGGGGATGAGTGACGTGAGAGTTGTGTGATAATGACTGGCTTGGAAGCCAAGACTAATAGTTTAACTACACAGGCGCGTATATACAAATTACACTGGATGAATGGGACTTGCCTTGTGTGCTGAAGGAGAAGTTATGTTAACATTACGCGAATATCAGTTGCCAAGTAATTACAGGGGGGGTTGTTACACTCATATATCACCATTAAAGTTACCCTAATTTAAAACAACTCAGCCGCGGATAGTGTTGTGGGTCATTGCAGCATCGTGTAAGCAAGAAACCAAGAAGGGACAATTAGGAAGGAATTCAGGGCACACCTGGCTTTCAGGTGCTCAAATGCCAAAGGGGCCCTCTGCTGGCCACTCAGAATTATTAAAAGAACTGCCTGGGACAAACAAACCACAATCATGATCACCCCTATATCAGGTTGGGAAAGGGTTAGTTAATTTCCGGGGAGGAGGGGGATTGGGAGGGGAGGGGGCGTAGAGTGATATGAAGGAGAAAGCTCAAGATCAGACAGGGTGGAGGGAGTGTTTGAGAAGGATACTAAATACACTCGGTGAAAAGAAAAAAAGAGTCCTGTCAAAGTGAAAGGTATTCGACAATCGTTTTAAATTCATGAATGCCAATATTATTTTCCAAGTACTAACTTATTTGTTAATGTGATGGCATTAATTGCATAAACGCAAACAAATATTTTTTATTTAAAGCTTTCGTGACTGCAGGGATTCATAGTCTTGGTTCTTTCGGTAACGTCACGTAGAAGGGAAACAATAAAGGCAGAGGGCAATGAAAAAAGCAACGAATGAGGGCACGTATTAAATATTAAATATGTTCCATCTCCTTCAGTGGACATTCAAGATCCAGTGACATCATACAAGAAGATTCCGCCATTGTGTTCCAATGTCTTGGTCTGTGGGTGCCACAGTGACGAGATGTTAGCTGCCTCGCCTGGTATACAGGAGGTCACGGGTTCGATCCCGACTGTGTATTTGGAGTTTGCATGGTCTCCGGGTCCTCTGGATTTTTCCCTCCACATCTAGAAACATGTGTTTACAGTAAATTTGCCTGCTATACATTTCCACGTGATAAGTCACTTCGCTGAGCTATCATTTGTGGCCAGGTTGCTTCTGAAAAAGAGCTACATAGCTCAGTGGGCCTTACATGGTAAAATAAAAAAGTTTGATATACACGTGGTCCAAATTTGACAATCTAAAATGTGTCAATTATCGCCACCTACTGGCAGACTAATTCCCACTTGCAGGCCAGTGCTAGGTCACCTTGTGCCGCACAGGGACAACTGCCACTGGGATTCTCCTACAACGCTCGCGATGAGATGTAATACAAGCTGAGGCATTTAAGAAAGTGTCATATAAATGAAATGACTATTATTATGTATGATAACTTCTTTCGCAACATACATAGCCAACCATGCTAATCGGAGGTGTGGGGGAAGGACAACAAACTAAACATAAAAAGCAGTTCTAGAGAAATTAGTTAAAAATCTAAATTTAAAAGTGCATAGCTCCAGTGGCTTCCTAATATCAGAAAGAATAGCGTTCCAGCCAGCCACATAAGCACATCTGAAAGCGTGCGATGCAGTGACCCTCTTTAGTCGATGGCTAGCCAAAAGCCGCTGCGAAGATGATCGGAGTTCGCATGATGGTTTTATGTTCCTTGACGAGATCAGCAACGTTTTGTGTATCCTTTGTGGCAAGCACTTTGTGTGTAATGAGTGCAACTTTATAATGAATGCCACAGAGCCAGCGTTGACAAACCTAGCTGCAACGAAGGCACCCAGGATCATGGTCATCACTGTCAGCTGCACGGAGGTTGACACTTTCTTCCTGTTCAAGACAAGTGGAAAAAAGGTTAATTTTGTAAATATTTACTTTCAGTTAATGAATGATCATTAAGTGTGCATTTTCACCAGGTGACCGGCCATTAAAATGCACTGTAGCCTTTGCAGGGACTGCTTGTGCGACTTGAAGTGATGTATGGTTAATGACGAATTATATATATATTTTAATGGAGGCAATGTGCCAGACCGTTACATCACATTGTGATGCATGTACACACCGTCAACAAAACCCAAATCGGTTATGAAAAGCAGGAGATAGAAAGAAGGGTAACGGGGCACGATAAATTAAATTAAAATAGTTCCATGTAATACATTTTTATTCGTGTGATCATGTAACAACTTGACACCAGGATATGTCTCTTTTGAAGGAGTGAGCTGGGTCAACAAATTGACGAAAGCAAAACAACCGAAATAAAGTACAGCAACGAGGCAAACAGGATGAAGCAATGACACACGTGTGTGTACGACGTATAACCTACTTGAGCACGATAACCTCCGCGATCATTGTGAAGAGAATCGAGAATCTTCTCAGCACAGTGAACATGGGAAGGCTGGAGAAGACAACACAGAAGGTGACGACGCACACAGCACCAATCCCGCATGGTCAAATGCTCACGAGACAAAGCATAACTGGTAGCATATGTTCTGGTCGTACATTAACAGGAAAAAGGAGGTAATTTACAAAGTTGGAAAAAAACCCAGCACGGTCGGGGGGGGACACAAATCAAACTTCAAATTAGACAGCGAAAACATAAAGCAACACGGTGCAACGTAACGCTTTGGTAGCGATCCAAGTGCATTGCAATTCCAGGCATGTTTGGCAAATGCACGGGCACCAGCAGTACGACTAGCTTTATCGAAGAGCGCACCCTGCACTGCGTGAGAAGGCCAGTGCTCTATACAATGCGGAATGAGTTGGTGCAAGATACCGAATTAAATTTTGAACATTGTTTAGATGAGGGTGCTCTTCCAATAACACATGGCATAACCCAGCAGAATTTGTTTAACAATCCTAACTCTTCTGATGAGACTCAGAAGGTCAAAACCGGTCCAGAGTTTACTTACATAAGCACATGCTGCTGTGTAATAATAGTCTGGACAGCAAATGCAGCCTCATGCACAAAGCAATATTTATTTGTTTGTGTATACAGAACAAAAGTTACATTTGCCTTCTGCGACTTACTTTAGTCGCTTTGTGCTCAGCAGCCCTGTCAGTAAGTTTCCTAAATAGATCAGAGGCAAGGGGAAGATCTGAAAAACAAACAGATGGGGACATAGAATGAGTCACAAACTTGCAAGAGACCTTGTAGATATTAAACAAACCACAACAATCATCTCCAAGCCCAAATGAAATCCACACGTGTCTCAGCAAATTGTGGCCGAGTACGTAAATTACACATCTTCACTTTTTATGAAATAAAAAGCACCATGTCTTGTCTACAGTGCAATGTCTACAAACCACCTAGTCTTTTTGAAGGAATATCATTCTGTATACAGCTGTATATTTCAACAATCATATTTTACAGCCTTTTATCGATAAGATGGCTGAACGCTTCCCAAAGGTCGTGGTAGTACTGATTGATTACGCTGCATGATAAATACTAACAATTGGCTGCTGTGATTTACCCACTCACTATTTGATAAATTGTCACAAACTTGGAGCCATGATTTAACTCAAGAACAAATTACGTTTTTTTGCCATAGTGGTGCACGTATAGGGCCTTTAAGTGGCTACAGCATTTACATGAAAGAATTACGCACAGCATGTATACTGGTGATATGAAGGCAAATCAATACACAGACACACAATTCGAAGCTTGTTCTGTAAGAATATATATTAAAGTATGAATTGATGCTATTGCATTCCTATTAAATAGGGGTGGATCGATTCAACAACTCTGCCACATACAGTAATTCAAGGGTTGCAATGTAGGATCGTAATTTGATGGAAAAATCGATTTCCCTCCCTTTCCCTTAACATTTTAGTGAATTGTAGCACCTCCAGTGACTGACAGGAGTGACGTGAACCCATTAGATATAACACATGTATGAATAGGAAAACATATTCTTACACATGGGATTCAATGTTTGTATAGTGAGCTTAAAGAATCAATTATTTATCAATCGTTGCATTGTTACACGCCTAATAAATATGGTGCACATTAAATACTGTTAGGCAAGTGTAAATCTGTTTGCATAATTGCAGAAACTGACAAGTGCAAAGGTCACAGCTTTTGAATGTTTCTTATTTCATAGACAGTGGGTGCTGATCAACAACATTGTCAAGGTTGCAGAGACAGTGGAAGGCTTCAGGGTAGCCTGGTGAATAGAGGAATTGCCGCCAGCAAATGATAAAAGTTGAGCGAGCGGAATTAGTATGTGGTTTGCGACCGATGACCGCAATTACACTGTGAGCTATTCTTCATTTTACATTAATGTAGGACGGTGTTTTTTCTGTTTTGGCTCACGGACCATGCGGCCAATATGAACATTTCCGCGGACCACCCAGCCCTCCGCCAACCCAAGTGACAAAACGCATTCATTTCGCTCTAACTACCATAAATACGAAATGATTCATATTACCGGAACACACAAAAATATACACAGCTAAGGGGCATTTAGATCTTAGGGTTAGGGTAGTTTAATCAGGGTAGTTTACCTAACTTAATTTTGTATTAAATATCACGAGTTAAATATTAATTAATGTCCATAACAAAAACATATGAATGTTGTCATTATTTCCGGATCATCCTGCATTTCCATTAGCCTGCGGACCACCTGGAGGATCGGGGACCACCACTTTGAGAACCACTGCTCTAGGAGACCAGCGGGTCAAGCGGTGGTGCAGTGGGTTAAGCACACTGCTGTATGAACCCGGCGACCTCAGTTTGATTCCCAGCCATGGCTAACATTAGTGGCGAGTGATATTTTAACTGGTCCTGGGACCCCCTGCCCCTTGCTGAAGTATGGTCAAACAACCACCACAACTGACGCAGTTGTGTGGAGGCCTTCATTCGGCAATGGATTGACAAATTGGCTGTACAGTGTCACAGTAGGAGGTAGTTGCTGCAGGTCACAGAGAATGCCTCGCCACTGAGATTTTATTAAACAATGCCCCCCGTGACAGGTCTCCTGTGTCTGCTGGGATCACGCTAAATGCTGGTCAACTCGCCTTGCGAAGGACACTCCGGTCCAGATCAGCGAAGGAGACCACATCGCACTGCTTGCCAGCATACAGCACCACGAGCGTGGCCACCATCTGTGCGGAAACACATCAGCAGTTCATATTCTTAGCTCTTTCGGTAAAGAATATGAATTACTGCAGTCACGAAAGCTTTAAATCAAAACATCAGCAGTTGTTTACTCTCACACTGGTGCCGCTGAAGAAGCCATTCTTTTGAACCACGACCATTGTCTTAAACAACTTTTTGTCAGTGAAGAATTGAATGCAAGTGCAAATTTGCCACGGGAGGATTGGTGTTTTTGGGGTGACAAATGCTTACTTGTCCGATGCCCAGGGATATAGAAGACGGAAATCTGAAATATAGTAATGGTGTAAAAAACACACGATTAGCATTTTGTATATAGATATAAAAGAATCGTAATCTTTCATATTATAAAATAAATAACGGGTACAGACTCCGGCACGATGCCCTGGTGGTTAGCAAGAAGAAAAACATCAGTGCCATGCGATATCTGTCCCAGTCCTGGGGCGCCTCCTTCACTCAACTGCAATGACCAGTGCGGAGAAGTATGGTCAAACAGCCCCTATAACTGACACGGCATGAAAATGCCCTCATGGAATCTTGGCTGAACAAAAAAGGATAACATTTTTTTCCCCAGAAAATAAAAGTCCATAAAAAAATATATCACAAATTGAACAAAACACTGGAATGCTGCTGTTACATTTCAGCTTCGAACGCATGTCAATGGACATTCCAAGGCTGAAACAAACTGGTGGAGAGTAAAACCCCTACCCTCACATTTCCGATAGACCTTGCAGGTATTGGCACTGCAAACTGTGACTAATGTGGCAAATTTACCAAGGGAAAAGCATATTTACAGTGCAAAACATCTCACTTTGCCCATAAATACCTTTCCACTAAGTGCAGTCAGCAAGCCAAAAAAAGCATCTGCCACACTTTTGAAAACACAATGGCTCTACGGGGTAATGAAGCAGATGGCTTTTTAAATATAAAATATGGAGATGAAAATGATGAATTAATTATCAATTACATCAGAGGCTCGTGTGAGATGGTGATTACTTGGGGAGGCCTTCATCCAGCAGTGCTGATAATGATGATGAAAAATGGGTTTAACAGTAACGCTATCTTGAAAACACATGAATAAACATAAGCCACTCTACAACAGACCTTTCATCCTGCAAACCACATTTGTGAATCATCAGCTATCAAGACTGGATCAAAACGTTTGTGCGGGGCAGACTCACGGCCCAATGTCAATCGGATCACCCACTTGAGCAGTGAGATGACGAACGTGGCATGTAACGCGGCATTACGTGGCAGTAACGCCACGTTACAGCCAGACTTTGAGAGGCAACCTGCACCGAGGGTCTTGCTTGAGAGACATGCTCCCAATGACCACCAAGTGTGGACCAGTGCTACACAGTAAAGTTATATCCATAGATGCGGCAGAGAATCACAGCCCAGGGGCAAAACAGTTTTTAGCTGCGACATTGACACGGAGTTATTTGTGGTGCCAAGGAACTTAGCTCTATTTAGAAGGGCACGTTATAGGGCGCAGTATTTATATTTTCGGGACGCAAAGAGCCATGAGGAGTGTAGCTCCAGGACTTCCATCCACTCACTGGGTAACACGTTCTAAATAGTGTAATGTTAAAGGTACAGCCCCTTTACCAATCCACTGCTGGATGAAGGCCTCCCCGCACCTTTCGGTATGGCCGTTTTTGATCATACATCACCACGCTGGCCAGAGTAAGATGGTGAAGTGGGGTGTGACCAGGACCGCTTCAGATATAACTCGTCACCAGTGTTGGCCAGGTATTGCATTTACCGCACATCACCTGATTGTTGTCAATCTCATAATGTGCTGCCGATCACAATCGCGAATGCACAGCGAATGAAGACCACCATGTCAATGTCACCGTCACAGTGGTGCCACATTGTACTATGCTCCCACACATATATAAAAATATTTTTCCAGGTAAGGCCCACTGAGCTATGTAGTTCATTTTCAGAAGCGACCTGGCCACAAATGACAGCTCAACGAAGTGGCTTATCGCCTGGAAATTTGTAGCAGCCAAATACTCTTAAACACATGTTTCTAAGTGCTGAGGGACCCGAAGAAAATTTCACGTGACCTCGGTGAGAACATGATGCGACCCACGACCTCCTGTATACCAGGCGAGGTAGTTAACATCTTGCCACCAAGCCCCTGCCTCTAAACAACCCACAATGGTCAGCACGGTGAAGTATGGTAAAATAACCCTCACGAGCCACATGGCATGGAAAGTTTCTCATCCAGCAGTGGATTAACAAAAAGGGATCTACGTGTACACAATTGAGTCACAAACACAACACAAGCTGGTTCTACCTCCTCAACACCAAATGCCCTACACAATGAATAAAACGTTAATAACAATCCATGCATAAGCATGGATTGTCATGCTTTCCATCATGCACTTGACTTTGGAATGAGTAATTATTATGAGAGAGTTATGAGAGCTGACACCCCACCCCCCACTCCCGTTACGCATGGCTGGACAAAGATAATGAATAAAACACGTCCAGCCTCAGTTGAAAACCCATAAAAACCCCGTTATTACCGCAAGCGTCGTAAACGTGCCAACCCAAAGCACAACACCGAGAGAGCGGCCACCCACGTCATGCAGCAACGCGCCAAGGTGGGAGTAGCATGGCAGTGCACACAATGCGACATCCACAGACAACATCATCATCATCTTCTTCGCCGCCCAAAGACGTGCATAGGCACCGCTGTCAACGCAAACGACTCGGCTTGCATCCCCCTTAAAATGGCCTTCCGTCAACAACGCCAGCCTGTGGACTGTAATCATACGCAACTGCATTTTTTTGTCGAAGCTTTTATTGAATGATATTCGTGGCACCACTCTATCGCCTGGTGCTGCAGAGAGCAGGAGAGACCCAATGGATATTCAAAGGCTCACGAGGACCCGAACAATGGCATCAAAGCAATAATTATTGTCGGTGGTGTCACTCAGATACCAGTATACTACAAATATTAGAGTTAGAATCCTGGCCACGGCGAAGATTAGTGGCAGGTGATATTTGAAGAACCGGTCCTAACAACTCCCCCCCCACGCCTCATTCACCAACCAGCAATGGCAAGTGTGATGATGTATGATTAAAAATAAAACCCTCATGACTGATACTGTGTTGGGAGGTCTGCACGGTTGGCTACGTTACGGTTCAACAAACATTCACAAATGTGTGGATAACGTCTGGACTGTGCTAACTTCATGGTTAACCACCTCCTGCCATGGTGCCCGAAAGCAGCTGCTGTTATTATTTTGTTTTTCTTAGCAGTGACCATCACCTCGGCGTTAATGATGTACATGTAACGTTTTGTACTGCTTCAAGGAGACCGAGAAGGTGATGTTGGATAATCCGAGCAACTCATCTCCCCTGGGGAGGGGATGTCCCTCCTGGTTAATAACGTCCTCGACCAAGACCCTACGACGATGATGATGATGACGATGGTTCAACACAAGGGAGCCCCGTGTCCCAATGTCCACCCCTAAGACCGTACTGATGCACACAGCCCGCAAGTTTATCCTCCCTGATCATGTGTTAAATTATCCTCCCTGAAACAAGCCGACCGGTGTCCAAGCGAGCAAGAAGCAAAGGGCTATTATAATAAACACCACGATGCCTCCGTCAATCCTCCACAACACCACCACCACCAGCACTGCCCCTGTAGACCCCGCGAGCCCCACAGCTCCCTGTCGGGGCTGCCTACCTGTAGGCCGTGAGCACGCTCTTGTTGATCACCACGATGAGGAAGGAGCTGATGCCGTAGAGCGCGGCCGCCAGGAGCCGGGCGAGCATCGCTGGCCCCGTCCTGCTCGCCGCCTCGGCCGCATGGTCCCGCGGGCGCCCTCCCGTGCCTGCGCCGCTGATTTTATCTCCCGCTGCCGCCGCCGCCGCTGCTGCTGCTGCCGGTGACCGACGTTCGGACGACGATGGAGACGGAGCTGCCTCGGGCTTTGAGAATCTGCCCCGAGGCATCACGGCATCATGATCCCACCCCCCACACACCGCCGCCGCCGCCCACCCTTCAACTCCTCCGCCTACACCGGGGCGGAGCGCCGAGGAATCGATTTGGCGCGCGACGTAGAATCAATCGAAGATATCCTAACCCACCCACCCCCGTATCTCTCTCTCTTCTCCGACCTCCATCTCCACCCCGATTAAATAAATTGAGAGCGTTGTTTGTTGATTATCGGTACGCGGTGATGGGGTCTGTGTGGGGGGAGAGTAAAGGCGATTAGTTGCAGGTGAAACCAATGGCAATGATTCGATCTGACCCCGCGTATGGATTGTTGCGCGAAGAATCGGATCCCAGCTGTTGAGAAACCGGGTGCTACCATTCACTCGCCAAGGGGGTTGGTAATCATTCTTTAAAATACAACTGTTAAATATACAAAGAATAACGACACATTTTAGCCGTCGTCGGTTCTTACTTTTAAGCAAATTAGACAATGAAATTCGGAATAAATGTCACGTCCTTGGCGTTTTGTTCAGTTTGTGTTAATGATTGTGAATTGGGTGGCCGTGAATTGCGAGTTTCCCGGGTCGAGTGGTACGGTCCGGCCCGTGTTAGTCTCTGGGTGGACGTGGCGGCCTCGGCTTAGCCTCTCACGTTCTAGCGTTTCCCCGTCTCTCTGAACGTCTCCGTCAGCCCCAGGCGAGGTGAACGAGCGTGGGGGTTCACGAGCCATCCCGTGGCCCAGGACCCCGAGACGGGGGTCGTACCCGGGTTGGGGAGTGGGAGTGGGGGGGTGCAGGTTGCGGTACTCGGTAGAGTGATCAAGGCGAGACCGTGCTCCCCGAGGCTTCTCAACCTTTGCTAGGCCCCACTGTTCCGGCCTCTTGTGAATGCGACGTCATTAAAACAAATTTGTTGATCTCTTTATCCTGCATATATGTATAAGTAATAACAGTAATGTTATTCTACAAAGCTGAGAAGTGTTGGGACAACCCTGGGATGAACAGTCTGTGTAAACGCAAGTGAGACTAGTCGAAACGTCTTAATTTATAACGCCGTACACTGTTATGGGCTGCTGTGACCCAACTTGTTGTCGTGAGCCCTGACGAGTGTGTAAGAGATATCTTGGCATTCCTTTAAAAGGCCGCATTAGCACGTTTGGCTACGTACGATGCGAAAGAAGTTCGACAAACAACGTACTATACGTGTATGCAAGTTGCGTGCTTTCCAGGCGACTGATGCAGGACTTCGTAGGAGCAGTGCGGAATCATCTTGTTGTTGTACTGTATTGCTATGCTCCCTGGGGGGGTATATGTTCCCCGTCTTTAGCCCGCACCGACCAGCGTACGTTGTGGGAAGGCACCCACTCGGCAAAGACCCACGTGAGACCGTGCTAACAACAAGAAAAAATGCGCAAGGCAGCGTGTGATTTAAAAGCTTTTAATGCGTTTGCGACGGATGATGCTTCACTGGATGTCTTTCAGCAGGGGCAGCCGTGAAGGTGCCCAGATTCGGTGGGAAACATGACGGCAAGGGATGATCTGCAGTTCCAGGGTAAGGCTTTAACTAATAAGTACGTGAGCACGCCGTATTTATACTGTGTATGCTTTGCAGGACATATCTGCTTTGAGTCTACTGCAAAAGTGACAGAGGGTGACCCGCGGTGATTTTCAATGTAGATCGGTCGGCCACTGGAAAAGTGTAAGCGAATCGTTGGGTGAGTTGCTAAGTTGGGGAGTGAATGGGTCACTCGGTGAGTGGCTGGGTAGGTAAGTGGATGTGTGTGAGTGGGTGGGTGGGTAAGTGGATGTGTGTTAGTGGGTGGGTAGGTAAGTGGATGTGTTAGTGGGTATCAACCGTGGAGCTGAATTCATGAGATCAGCTCCTGTGCAGCTGCTGGGTGAATTGTTGCACTGCAATACTGAGGGATAGCGACAGCATGGGGAGAGGCCTTCATCCAGCTGTTCATTGATCGTGGCTGATCATAATAAATTAAGGCACTTCACCTGTGACTGCTGCTGCTGCTCACGCGCACACACACCCACCACTCCTTGCAGAATTTGAGGATGCTACGAGCCTGTTGGCATCTTCACCTGGAGCCACCACGGTCAGCATCGAGGATGATGTCGGCCCGCCACCGAGGAATCAGCGGCCACAGCAGCAGCCGGCGAGAGTGGCAGAGCGAGGTGGCGGCGAGTCCGATGATGACGATGAAGAGGTAGACATGCTGGGAAGACTTGGTGATAAGACGGAGGTGGGTACAGTATCACCTAGCGTAATACGTCATTGGCTTTCGCATTCTAAGTTACGTTGAGTTAATTTTAAATGTAATTCAGATATTTTCTTCCCAATTTGTTTTGACTGAATGGGACATCATTTTTTATTGAACTTTTGGCGGTTTTTTTTGGTCTGGCAGTTGCTATCTGAAGAGAAAAAGAGCGCCCCCTTCTGGACATTTGATTATTACAAGACATTTTTTGATGTTGATACACACCAGGTAAGCTGCTGGAACTGCACACAAATTGGTCGACTAATTTTTGATGTAAGTTGATCAGAATTGTTTTTGGAACAATTACTGAAGATGTGTTTTTTAAACGTGTATTACATATCAACAGTGACCTTAAGCTTGTGTATATTGGTTTGTGAAGGTTTTGGACAGAATCAAGGGCTCAATGATACCGTTTCCTGGAAGAAGCTTTGTGCGTAAGCACATTCGGGGCAACCCCGATCTCTACGGTAAAGTCGCCCACGTTTTCCCACTGCACTTATTAGTCCTTGAGGTGCATCACTTGCAATGTTGGCTCAATTAAGAGCAAGGCACTGCCGTTAATGTCATTCGTCTTTAAGCAGGCGTTGCATTATTTTACTGAGAATGTTATGTGTAACTATAAACTCACCAATTTTAGTGTAAAATCAAACAACACCGTGTTCATCATCAAGCCCCATCATTAAGCTACTGGCCCTCATGTTAGCATGTAGTACCTTATCTATTGTTACTTGACGTTTTGTTAGTGTCATGTTAAAGGCACTGCTGATGTCTTGCTGATGCTCTGTACCATGTCACACATGTAGGTCCGTTCTGGATCTGTGCCACACTGGTGTTTGCAATTTCCATCAGTGGGAACCTCTCCAATTTGTTCACGCAAGGCAGTGGTTCCGAGTACCACTACGTCGCTGATTTTCGAAAGGGTGCGTGCATGTCTTGTCATACAACTGTACACCTTGATGTACGTTTTTAAAAAAAATAAATGTACACACTTTGTATTGGATAACAATAAACACACCACTGTCCTTGTTTCTGGAATGCAGTGTCCATTGCTGCCACAGCTATCTACTCGTATGCATGGCTAGTGCCACTGGGGATGTGGGGCTTTCTGCTGTGGAGGAGCAACAGGACAATGGGAGTGATGTCTTTCTCCTTCCTGGAGATCGTGTGCGCCTATGGGTACTCGCTGTTCATCTACATCCCCACTGCTGTGAGTTTTCGCCAATTCCCGCCATATCACCCCAGTTGGTTTCTGCAGTGGAGGAACAAGCAAGCGTCTCCTGCTGAGTGCACTTTTAACTTTATCCTTTGATTTCTGCTCCCCCCCCCCCCCCACCAATGCCCATCCCACGCATCGCAGGTGCTGTGGACAATACCGTCGGGTATTTTGCAATGGATACTGATAGTTGTGGCGATGGCGCTCTCTGGCTCGGTGCTGGCGCTAACTTTCTGGCCTGCATTCCGCGACGACGACAAACGAATTGCGGTGGCCACCACAGTGGTCATCTTCTTATTGAACACATTGCTTGCTGTCGGCTGCAAGGTGAGCTTGTGACACGTTAATTGGTCAACTGCTTTCACACTTAATGTTTGGTAATCTGACGCAGTTAACGTTTGTCATCAGAAACCCAAGTGGGCATTTTGTTCTCACTGCTAAATGAGACAAGTTAACATCCGTGTGCCCAAATGCGAACATAATACTGCTCCTTTACAAGCACATGCATTGTATTTGTTGAATAACACGCAAGAAATTGTCTTTAGCAAAGGACACTGTGGTCTGGTCAGACACAGGTCAAGTCAAGGTGTACCACTATAAAGTCTATGAGCACCTTATATCTAAAAGATGATCTATCACTTGTATGGTATTTTTTATTGTATCACAAAATTTAAGTCATCACTTTTAATTGTGACTTCTTGGCAGGAGCCTCTGACTGGCCGAGGGTGGTACTAACGTCTCGTGTTCTGTGTGCAGTTGTACTTTTTCTCCACACGTCAAGTGCACATCGCTGCTGTAACGACTCTGAACCCGCATGTGACGATGGAACACAGGGCCAACGGCACGGCACGCTGAGCTCTCCGAGGATAACTGCACATCAAACAAGAACATGTTTTTAATCTTGATGTAACAGATTTGGGATTGTTATTTGGGAATAAGGTGAACTTAAGTGTTATTTATGTACACTTTTCCAGGCACTTGCAGAGGAAACATTCAATTGCAAATGCATGTTAGGTCACCTTTCTTGACTATGTATTGTATATTTTAAGTGTTTACACGTGAGGTGAATAGTGCCATGAAAAAAAGTGGGTAAGTTTGGTTCCAGGCTGCTTAGCAGATATCCAGCCCCATATAAAGATACTATGCATATACTGTGTACAGAGTATATATATACAATGCAGGAAATTGTAGTTTGTACAGTATCATTCAGTTGAGTAATCATAAACCTAAGTTGTATTTGTTAAAGTCTGGCAGAGGAATGATTTGCTGCTTTTTGTTGAGTTGTCCCTCCCTGCACGTCTGATTAGCTACATATGGTGCAAAAGCTCATACATTTGGGATTTTATCAAAAGATGACAAATGCCTGTTGTCCATAGAGAGCATGCACTCGACTCAAGTCTGAGAATGCCAAGTGTTTCTGCTGCTATACTTTGGCTCCCATGTTATAAATGTAGACCACCACAAGCATGGAATGGAATTTAGCGCATCCAAATGTCTAATTGACGGCAATGTTCATCGATGGCATACAGTAAAACCTTGGATTGCGAGTAACTTGGTCTGCGAGTGTTTTGCAAGACGAGCAAACATTTTAAATAAATATTAATTTGATAAACGAGCGAGGTCTTACGAGTAGTACGAATAGTACGCTTTATCTGCCGAGCGTCACGTGATCACAACTGATATACGAGTGCTTTGGATTACAAACACGTTTCCGGAACGAATTATGCTCGCAATCTAAGGTTTTACTGTATACGCATTTTGTTTGCATGCATTTTATTTTCCAAAGTTGTCACACTGCTAAATGTATGCAGAATTCATATTCAAGGCAAAAGTTATGAATTTAAATGTTGATCATATGAAAAAACCCACTACCTTTGACATTTAAATAATAAAAATCTGCAGTAATGTTTTTTGGTCATTGGGGTAAAGCTTGATTCTATATGGGGCCGTCTTTCATTCAGCAACCCAGTTTAGAGGCACGCATTTACCGGACTACAAAAAAATTAAGTCGATGCTATGGAACGAAAGAATAAGCGATGCATTTGGAAACGTAGTCCACATGTTAGCAAACAGTATTGTCAATGCAAGTACCTTCTGGAGGTTGTGTATATTTGCTAAGCAAACATCTTTTCAATAGGGACGGTCCACATGAATTTTCAAAAATGTCCTTTTAAGGATCCACTGCTGGACGAAGGCTTCCCTTTGTAATAATTGTCCTGGGGGTTGTTTGAACATATTTCGCACCACACTTGCGGACCCGCCCATACGGGACATGGGTGGAAGGAAAAAAAGCTTCATAGCTCATTGGGATTCCTGCAGTCTCAATAAAAAAAGATGCACATTCTGACTTCGTGTCACACTTGCCAGCACAGATTAAAGGCTGGGGATGGCAGGTGGGAATTGAAATCCGATCGCCAGGGATACTTGCAAATGTCCTAGTTCTCCCCTGCTTCAACCATTTTTTTTCACCCCCAATTAGCACGGTTGGCCTTAAGTATGGTGCCAAATGAGTTCGACATGTTAAACAAACGTGACAGTTCAGTGCACCACTGTACCCGCGGCGTTTAAAATTAACGTTGCTGTTAAATGTTATATCCCATCACAAAATCATCTGGAAAGTGTCCCATCTCATTAAATCTAAATTGAGGGTGAGGCCTGGAGTATTATTTGAATGTGTAACCATGCACGTCAGGTTGATGGCTGCTGCAGAGCTACTCGGTGGGAAGCAGACAGCAGTGGCGCTGAAGTTTTTTCCATTCACCCAACTTCCAACCTGCACTGACCAGCATAAAGTATGGTCAGATAACCCCTATGACCCTCAACCAGCAATAGTGACAACGGCAGTTCATGTATATTATACTGAAGCATACCAAACACATTGGGTATTTTTATGCTCTTGGAACAATAAAACATGCGTTTGATGGGATTTCTCTAGTGGTGGGTTTGTCTTTTGTTTGTTCACATGTGAATGTTTGAAAACAATGTTGTTTTTAAGATAGCTCAATATCCAATATATTCACTCTATCCATCTGGTTAAACGGCTACTCGCTGTTGATCATCCTTTTGTGAAAAGTCAAGTGGCAGCTGATGTTAAAGCCATGTATTTTGATTACTAGAAGTATTTGACTTAAATACTTCAAGGATCCATACAAGTTACATTCTATGCATAAGGTTTTACTATTGGGTGGAGTGGCAGTTGCCCGTGCACTGCACAAGGAACCCATTAACCAGTTCCTATTCCTGGCCATGGATATCATTAGCGACCGATACAGCCACAGACTTGCCCGCAAACCTTTCCCAACAAGCATGAAGTGTGTTAAAAACTGGTGACCGATGCTGTGGGGGAGGACTTCCAGCAGTGAAGAGTTCAATTAGAGGTATTGTCATGCAGCACACCATAATGTCACATACTTTAAGCAGGGGAAATTCTTGCAAGTCAAGAATGCACAATTCTCATTCTAGAAATATACTTCATTTTACTGGTAGGAACCTGGTTCCACCAGCCCACAGGGGATTATTGTGTCCGTCGTGCATCCAAAAATGGGAGGGGTGGGGCTGGGTGGAGAGGGTGGGTCACCCCGTGGTGCCCTTATAAAACTCAACGTTGAACCTACTCACGCCGGCTTGTGCCCGCCCTCACAGTCGGGCATATTTGCGGAATACACCACGTGGTGCCGCCGTTGACCCTGGCCATTGACCGAGCAACCCAACGTTCCTACCAGCTCCCTCCGCAGGAATGTGTTTTATAATTTAAGCACTATTCAAGATAAAAGCAACACAATTCATGAGTATGATGTTTATTTTAAAAGGAAGGAAACAGACTTAAATATAGAGCTGGCAAGTTTAAAGATGGCACTCGCATGATGACAGGCGCCAATGTGAGGGGTGGTCATCACAGCTAAACGTTTTTACGGAGACAATTGTACAGTGAGCAAAGCACGTTGCCCCTTAGCCAACTTGGGAACGGCTACATCCGCTTTAGGGCATTGATAAAAGCAGATTTGTCTGAACCATCCAAAAATAAGCATCTTAATCTGCTAACATTTGAAGTGAATTTTCACAGCATAACTGGGTTGCCACGTCAATTATAAACATCAACTCCCGAGACATTAACGCTACAGACGAATTTCTTAAGGTTATTTTACGGACCAAAAATGAACTCGTCGTTTCATATTCTATAACCTCAAGGAAAAAGTTGTTCAAATGTAAAAATACCATCCCACGGTGTGCACCACCTTCAAGACAGTTGACAAAAAGTGAATAAAACCATAAAAAGGTCCTGTATAAAAAAAAACTAAACATGGCTTAAGATATACATTAATAACTAAACATACGAACATTTACTCATTGTTTTTTTTCGGTAAAGTCACGTATGTAGAAATACCATAAAATTATATTAAAATAAATCAATCACGACGTTTCGACCGCAACACAAGCGATCTTCATCAGGTGTAAAAAACAAATAGCGAGGGAGCATATAGGGCGATACCAACGCAACACAGAGAGCACCAAACTGCACGGAGGTAAATACAGCAAGAAGATAAGAGACGAGAATTCAAACCTAAGAAAAAATTGTGATGTAAAACCAGTCAGGCCAACAACAGTTAAGACACTTGCCTGGCGGACCACGAATTTAAGAAAATTCGTGGTCCGCCAGGCAAGTGTCTGTGTTGTTGGCCCGACTGGTTTTGCATCACGTAATTTTTTCTTAGGTTTGTTGAATTCTCGTCTCTCATCTTCTCGTTGGTATCGCCCTATATGCTCCCTCGCTATGTTTTTTACACCTGATGAAGATCGCTTGTGTTGCGGTCGAAACGTCGTGATTGATTTATTTTAATATAATTTTATGGTATTTCTACATATGTGACTTTACCGAAAAAACCAATGAGTAATTTATGCAGTCACGAAAGCTTTAATTCTTTATACGAACATTTCACAAAGTGGTGTAAAACATTGTTCTGCAATTCTTCACCATTGACCTGGTAAAGCTTGAACCAACATTTACAATATTTTATTCACTGTATTGTAATTTAAAATGTCATAAGTTATACCTTAATACTTGCAGGTCATGTTTGAAATAAGAACATCCTTACTGGAATGTTTGAGGATTTAACATTTTTTTACTTGTGAAGACCACTATTTAGATTACTAATCTTGGCAGAAATATTAACCTTGGTGAGATACACGAGCCCTAGCCTGTACTCAGCCTGTTGTAGAAGCCAAATTACCAGATTTGGCTGCAGAAAAGTTTGTGCCCGTGCTCAATTTATGTATCGTAATTTTATCCCACCGATAATCTTGGATCTGTAACACTTTTGTTATCATACATTTTACATGTCACGTACTGCAATAAAGTATTGTTTTTTGGAAAGTGGCCATACTTCTACAGAGCTGTGCAGATAAAATGCCAAGGGGCATTTGCAAGCCAACAGTGCAAGCCAGGTGGCCAATACAAAAACACTATCTTCTTGGTTCTTTCGGTAAAGTCACGAGAATTTTATTGTCTTATTTTGTTTTGTTGTTTTATTCTCATTCTACGTGACTTTACCGAAAGAACAAAGAAGATGAATCCTTGCAGTCACGAAAGCTTTAAATCGAAAAAAAACTACTCAAGGTTTAACCCCTCTGGAAATGTTTTCAAAACTGCAATAGTAGCACCCTTCGCGAATATACACTTTGGAGCGAGATCACACTATTGAAAACGAAATTGCCAGTCACTGAGCAGCTGATTTACTCAGAAGTGTAGGCAAAACTATTTTCAATTAACTGTTAATTTGCTACTTTGAAAATAAATCTAACTACGTCTGTCTTTTTCTCGTCAAATGTCTCACTCCAGTGTAATGAGCACATTATTAAATCGTGACTTTTCAATATAGCCACGCTTAAAAAGAACGAACTGCCCGTTGCGTTTTCACGAACACTATAACATATCTAAAGTCAAAAAATTTGAAGTGTATCATTAAAACACAAATGCACAGTTTAGGACCAAACTTTAGAAGTTTCCGCGTGTTCGTGTGAATAAAAACAGGTGCAAACATCATTGCGAATGTTTTTTTGGAGCAGCTATTGAGCCTTGAAAATATCATTTATATCCAGAAAATCACTTGGTGCTAACACATTACCATTGTCAAATGTTGCAATGCGACAGGTAAAGTTTATGTTTCTATGGTTTGATGCGTGTTTATAGCTGCAGATAAAGTAAAGTTAATTGCATCCACAGTTTATAAAAATCAGAGGCAGTTTTACACTTACAACAAAACTAAAAGCTCCCACAATGGTAAATTAACAATGATCATGAAGGAGGCAGATTTCAATTACTCTGGGTCAATGGCGGAGCCAGCATTTTCAGGTAGGGGGGGGGCAACCCCCTCCAGCAATGAAAAATGAGAGAGTTGTTAGCAAGGACTGGTCCGTTGCTTTTTATTCGACGCGTGTGTGGCGATGGCGCAGCCCATCGATCGAGGGTCGAATTCGAACCGTGTTGTGTGATCGGCATCGCACTCGCGATGCCGAAATCGTGTACTGTGTACACAACTGCGCAGAATTCTGTGCGTCACTTATAACTGCTTTGCCGTTACTTATTGACAATTATGGACTCAGATTATTGTCCTATCTCATAGAGTCCCTGGCACATAATAATATGCTACACATTGGGCAATGGGAGTCGCAAAATGCCGATTTATTACTAATAAACCCCAATGATCCGATCGAAGTGAGGGATTTCGACTGGCTCCGCCAGTGCTCTGGGTCATGGTTTATAACATCAGTAAAGTGGGCAGTCAGTGAGGTTTTTTTGCCAAACTGGGAAAGCACTTCAACAAATTACCGTCGTAAACAAAAAGAAAGTCACTGTAAACTTAATGTAGTGTGCAGTCTTGAAATGGCAAGATAAATCTCTTGTATTCTAATAACGATGTCAGGATTAGCAGCAAGAACGTCAACAGCTTGACATTATTACTGCCTATTATCTGCATCAAAACAATATATCCTTCTGGGAACTTGGTCCAGATATATCCCAAATAGAACTTAAAAAAAATAACTATACCATGAGCAGAACAATGTTGGGTATGTGTTGAACTTAATATATATATAAAAAAAACATGTATAACAAACAACTGCATATACTTGCACGCAACTACAAACGCCGGCTGGTGCTGTGACGCACGTGCACACGTGCGCTCACTCAGATGGCCAAATGGTAAAGTTACAGCGTTTTAAAAAGTTCACGTGAATCGAGGTTGAATTAATTACGGACGGTTGCTCAGCCTCATCCCTTTGCATCTTGTGCTTCCTCTCAGCTGTTGAAGGGCATGTTGCTGTTGACGAGTGGTACCGGCGACGTCGTCATGCCCAACATGCCGCCCATCGCTGCTGCCGCCGCCGCAGTGGCCATCTGGCCAGACATCGGGTATCCGGGTACTGCGGAGTGGCCCGTGTTGCCACTTCCTGTGGCACACAGGCACAGCAAGGCACACACATTGCTTTCATGCTACCCAGTATTCAGGTCAGTTTGCGTGACTGCCCATCATCCTGAGAATGTGAGCGTGGAATTGCATTTAAGTGATCAGCAATAAAAATTAACCCCCTTGCCACAAATGTACATCCGTTCAATTATGTCTTACAAGTTCACAACCTCTTTTTAAATAATTTTTTACAACGAATCCCATCCAGAAGGAGCATGCTGTTGAAAAGGAGGGTCGATTTATTTATGGGACATTCTCAGATAAATTATTCAAGTAAGTTTCTTGGTTCAAAATGTAATTTCATCGTCTCCCATTTCCAACAGAGACCCATCCCAGAGCATGCATTAATAAAACCCATGTCAAGACTGCACATTCAATACACTCGCAGCAATATGGTCAAAGCTACTACACTCCTCATGACAGAGCATGCCACTTAGTTGCTATACCTGGTTAAGTATACAAGGTGGATCCGTACATTTTTTTAATAAAAAGTACCTGCAGTGGATTTGAGACAAATTTAAATTTCCAGTTACATTCATGTTAAGGACAATTTCTCCCCGGGGGGCAAAGGTCCATCAGATAAGCGCAAGAAGTGACTAAATAAACAAGGAAATAAAGTCATGCAGTAGCGGTTTTGGCTAGAGCGTTACCCGGCACAAATCCCGTGCTCATAATGGAGCCCAGCCTGGAGAAACTGTGATTCACAGGCCCAGTGTCGGCTGCAAAGAGATAGAGACACAGCGAGGCAGACAAAGCTCATGCACCTGTGTACACCAAAACACGAACAAAGCACATCGAGATAACTAAACAGAGCGGTACAAATTATGCACTACACACCCAAGTCAATCAGTAGACGCAGCGATGGTTGGTTCACACGTAGCATGATTTTTATGCAAAGGCAAGGAAAATATTGCGAATTAATTAAGAAACTGTAATAAGCACTTTCCAGTTGTTTAACGAGTTCCTTCCAGATAGGTTCCCTGCTCCAACGGTCGCATTTTTGCTCAATAAGTTTGATCAAACATCCAGACCATTTGTACGTCTGCCGATTGCCAAGTCAGCTCGTACTGTTGGCGCAATTATCAGAGCCATGTAAATAAAGTATAATATGGAACACCAATATCACGATAGATGAGATGGTTACGGTTTAAAATAGTTCTTCCAGTATTGACAGATCCTATAACAAATTACATTTTCATGACCACCAACGTTTTTTTGCCAATTTTTCATTTCTAGAAAGACTGTTCCAAGGTTAAAATTCAGAATTTCAGGTACATCAAGGGAAAGAAAAGAGTCCACTTTACTTTCGTGTAAATGCAAGTTTAAAGAATTAAGCAGAACCACTTTAAAACGTTTCCAATGTTAACATAAAAGCGGCAATAGCACTTCTCTCTACGCGAAGCGGCACCAAGCGGTAGCACGGTTAAGGAACAACAGAACGGCATGGTCACCACGTGCACCGCCACCTTTACACAAAAGCCTCGCGTGTTACAGACAGAACGCACACCACCCGATCATAATGAGCACCAAATCGAAACTGCTCTGCCAAGTGATGTATTGAAGTCAATATTTTGAAAGCAAAACAGGCAAATAGGAACAAACGAAATTATTATAGTGGCCATGAGGGTCCTTTATGCAAGTGTCCACTTAGTAACTATAACAACATGCACAGGAGGGTGCCCACACAGTCTTGTATAACAGGGTTTTTCAAATTGCGGCCCACGGGCCAAATGTGACCTGCAAAGGCTCTTGGATGGCTCGCCGAGTTATGAGATTATGGCCTGCTTTCACATAAAGAAAGATTAGCCAGATATGCGAGAGATAAGACAGAACGGAGAGGTGTAAACAATAAACATTTGCCAGTCGAAAGAGACAGATGTCGGACCTGCCAATGAACGGTACACTTTAGCGGTCACATTTAGACGTTATAACATTACGACGCTATGCGACAACATTACGCCTGTCGACGTAATAATGAATCTCATGTTCCGCAAGCCCATGATAATTTCATTCTGGCCCACTGGAACACAGCTGAAGAACCCTGCTCTTTTACACGTTTGTGTGACCAATCACTTAGGTTTACATCGAATGGAGTTTTAAGATTTCCTCTGCAAAATGGTGATCATACCTGCACCACCGTCAGTGTTACTCACCCATGGGGATGTGGTTGGTTGGTGTTGGAGAAGCCACTGAATTTAGCACCGAACTCAAGTCAAACGCAGACGGCACAGCAGCTAGAAAAGTAAAATTGAAAGACCGCAGTTTTTAAAGATGCATGCATCAAACCACGTGTGAGAATTTATTATTTAGAATGTATGCAAATAATATTCCGATGTTACACTTAGGTCGGGGGGGGGAAAAATTAAAACATGACAAATGGGATGGTAAAACGCCAAAAATGACTGACTTAATTGTGCAATCATATTGCGGTCCTGGATAGTGCAATACAAAAATAATCGTATGTATGACGGGGGGGGGGGGCGGGGTAATTATATATTTTTACATTACATCCAGTTATTTCAATTCGTGGCATATACTATAATTTCCGTAAGCGCAAGTCGACTATAAGAACACAAAGGTGAACATGGTGAGTGCCAATAACAGAGGGCGCGTACTGTGGTTTGCGAGTTGCGTCGAGCCCACGGTGCTGTACGCCGATGGGCCCCACATGCCTTCGGACGGAGACGTGTAGTGGGAGCCGGCAGGCGGCGACGGCGTCGTCCCCGAGTACCTGCAAACAACAAAACAGGTAAAGCCCACTGAGCTATACAGCTATTTTTTTTCAGTTACCTGCCCACAAATGATAGCTCAACCAAGTGCTTTATCGTGTGGAAATTTATAGCAACCAAATACTCTAAACCAGTGGTTCTTAACCTTGTTGGAGGTACCGAACCCCACTAGTTTCATATGCGCATTCACCGAACCCCTCTTTAGTGAAAAATAAAATGTGATTTTTTTCAAATTCAAGACATAGATATGTTTTTTACTGGTACACAAAATGAGCCGTGCATGAACATTACCTTGTTCAAAGAATAAAACCAACACAATGCATAAACTCACAACAAATTACATACCTGGAAATCAATGTGACTTCTGCTGTTGCCTGTTGCCATTGAGAGATCAGTTCAGATATGCGTGGCTTCACCTTGGCAAGTGCCACTCTCATGTCATTTTCACAGCAAAGTCTGTTCCTTTTCTTAGTTTTTATGTCCAGCATCCTCGAAAAGGATTGCTCACAAAGATATGTTGTAACAAATGGTATAAAAAAATCCAGGGCTTTCTTAGCAATAACTGGATACTTGTTCATTTGTCGACACCAAAACGTTGAGAGCGTTGTTGTTCTGAAGAGTTGCTGTTGAACCTGGCTCTGCTGAATTTCAATGATTTCGTCGAGGAATTCATCATTGACATCTGCTGTTTCAACAGCAAACGTGAACGGCTGTCTCACCCATGCTGGATATGACTCTCTTGTAGGGAAATATCCGTCGAGAGACTTTGCAAGCTCATCTAAGTGCGTGGCAATTGTTTGCTTCAGTTCCGTGGATACAGAAATATCTCCCGATTCCAGACACATCTTCGATCTTACTTGCACAGTCGTCCAGAAGCGGGAAGTTTGCGAAGTTATTGTTCTCTGTTCGTCGTTTCCATAACGGTATCTTTTTTTGAAAAGCCTTCAGGTGTTCTTCTGCTTCCATGATATTGACTCCACCACCCTGCATCTGCTGATTGAGAAGATTGAGAGCTGCGAATATATCAGCCATGTACGCTAAAATGAGAATGAACTCAGGATTTTTGAAGCAATCTGCATGGCAGTGTTGGTGCTCTTGCAAAAACAGGGCTAATTCCACACGCATGGCAAAAACACGATTCAGCACCTGTCCCCGGGATAACCACCGAATATTAGAATGGAGCAGAAGTACCTCAAATTCAGAGCCCATTTCTTTACACAGCTCACTGAAGATGCGGTGCCTCAGAGCACTTTTTCGCACATAGTTCACACATTCCACCACAGTTTTTAATACTTCTGCCATTTTTGGAGGTAAGGTTTTTGTTGCCAACGCATGCCTGTGCAGAATACAATGCGTCACAATGATGTGTGGTGCATCGGCCTTTACTAGCGCACCAAAACCAGACTTTCTTCCCAGCATGACTGGAGCTCCGTCCGTACAAACTGCAGAAACCATATCCCATGAAAGATTGTTGTCTCTGAAGAAGTCATCCACAAGCTTCTTCACATCGGCTGCCTTCGTTGTTGTTGTAAGAGGCTTACAAAATAAAAACTCTTCTTTTATCATGTCGTCTTTCACATAGCGTACAAAAACAGCAAGCTGGCTTAGATCAGAAACGTCTGTGGTTTCGTCGAGTTGAAGGCTGACTTTTGCCGGGCTTGAAATCAGATCCGCGACTACTTGAGCCAAGATGTCTTTACTCATGTCTTCTATTCTGTCACTGACGGTGTCATTTGAAAGGGGAATTTGGGATAATTTACCTTCGGCCGCTGTTCCGAGTATCAGATTCGCCATCTTTAATGCAGCGGGTTTCACAAGTGTTTCACCAATGGTGTGTGGCTTGCCCTGCTTTGCGATCAGGTAAGCAACTTCGTACGATGCTGTCAGGATCGGTTTGTTAACGGGTACAAATCCAAGAGCAGGCAGAGTGGCCCTTTCATCGAATCTGGCTCTCTTCACCCTGAATTCAGCAAGTGTTGTGTTCTTGTATTCCCCGTCTCCATGCAGTTTCAAGAAGTGTTCCTTTAGTTTTGCCGGTGCAAGACTAGAGTTGCTCAACTTGGCGTTGCAAATCATGCAGATAGGACGCTCACTCCCATCACGTTCCGTGATACATGAGAATCCATGTTGTACATATTCGTCCGACCACTTTCTTCTTTTGCCCGACATAGTTAGTATGGATAAAATATTAAAGAAATCACACGACGTACGACAACAACAGTCACACGTTGACTACTGAGTACGCACTAAATTCCCCGCAGCGCTGATTGGCCAAGCAGTGTAACATGATCATCTGCAGCCAGTGATGGCCAAGCGGGCCGTGTGTGTCATCACAAATTTACACAATAATTCAAGTGTGTCCGGACCTCCGTGGCGGGGGCTCTGCCGAACCCCTGAGATCGACTCACCGAACCCCTGGGGTTCGATCGAACCCAGGTTAAGAACCACTGCTCTAAACGCATGTTTTTAAAATGTGGAGGGGAAAGCCGGGAGGGCCCGGAGAAAAATCCACGGGACCACGGGGGAGAAAATGCAAACTCGAAATATACCAGGCATTATAGGATCAGGATTGAACCCACAACCTCCTGGATACCAGGCGAGGGAATTACCATCTCGTCACCGTGGTGGCCCATAGGCTGCGGCCCCAGAAGGAGGCATTCGGGTTGATGGCAGGGAGCTTAAATATGGTAGCACATCAGTAAAATAAATTGATTTTTGTCAAATCCTCTGGGAGTGATGCCACTGTATTTTTCCCATAGGATTTAATTAAATGTCAAAAATTATCATCATCATTATCCGTGCACCATCATAGAATGTGCGACCATGATTTTTCTTTAAAGAAAGTTAAAAAAGGAGGTGTTTGTCAGCTCGGGATGTACAACAAATGTGACATCCATGGGTCTTACCTGAAGAATGGATTTTTGAGGTCCAACAAGTTGCTTGACTTTGACCCCGTTTGGTCGACTACAGCCACGAGGTTGATGTCATAGCTCTGTCTGCAGGCCATGGAAAAAAATGTATATTTAGTTACCGAATAAACCTCAGCCGGTTCATTGTTTTTCATACTGTAAGTAGAACTTCAATTAAAATCGTGTTAAGCATTAACTTGTAAAACAAATACACGAGACTTCATTTCTTGGTGCAGTCGACAATTCAGCAGTAAGCATGCAATTGAAACGTGCGATGAAGAACAATGTAAACTAATAAACGTGGCATAAAGTGAATGAGCGAAAATACACCAGCACTCATCTGAAGGTGACTTCCCAAGTATTATTGCACGTAAAGCCACAATGCAATGACCACCCCCCCCCAAAGGTCATTTTTTTGTAGGTCCGTTCGTGAGCACAAACCTTTTGTTTGCGATCATTACAACAGTGCCGGAGAGCGTGTCTCCGGCCTTCGTAAAGAGCGGCGACTGCAGCAGGCAGCGCACTTGGTACCAGTGCGTTAATGGCTCCGTGGGAGCTGTGGAGAGCCAGACAGTCAGCCTGCAACAGAGCATGCATGCACACACATACCATAATACAGCTCTTTAAATACTGGCTACAGCATTGTTTTCATCATATGAGGCACGTGACAACAAATGGCAGGTAGGCCACTTGAAAATGGTGTTGATGATGGTACTCACATAGAGCCCACAAACGCAACGTCGAACCAGAAGGCCAGGCCGTGCACCAGCCCAGACTGAAGCATCTGGAACTTGAAAGGGATCTCTATCCTGGAGAAACAAAGTTTAACCCATTAGTGGCTCACAGCAACACAGCCACTTACATCACTAAGACTGAGCAAGGCAAAGGTGTGACTACTACAAAACAGCATAAAGACCCTGAAAAAGAATATGACTGCTTTTCCAAATAAGTTTAGGTTGGAAAGTGCTATGTAGGAATATTGATAAAATTTACATGTGCACTCATAATAACTGCACGGGTAGCTATGTTTGGTGCGAAACAAGTTCAACATATGTACATAAAACTGCAAACTAGACTCAAAATTATCCATAACTTAGTTGATTAAAATAAAAATCACAGCCACAAATCATAACTAATGGAAACATCTCGGGGAGTGAATCATTTCCAAGCCTACCAGAAAAGCAGCGAATGTCTGCAATTGTAGTGACAAGGTGTAGATTGAGACACTCACCTGTGCAGGTCCTCCTCCCTGGCCTGCTGAAAGTTCACCGTGTACTTGATGGACCTGGCCATCAGTATCCGAATGTCAAATGTATCCTTAAAAAAGACAAATATACATGGAACACACCATTAATATACAACAATAACTAAAGATTACATTTGCTGTTTAACATAATTACCAAGTCCATGTCTGATACCACAACAATCCATTACTACTTAAGTGTGTCCTCCAAACCATCCTACCATCGGTGGCCCTCGATGCTTTAAAAGTCAGCTTTCCCTTCCAAAATCCCATGTTGCTGTAATAGATCCTACATTTCATTATAGATGCACCTCAGGCTTTCCACTCACCACGATTGGCTGCCGAAAGTACTCTTCAAGGGCAGCCCCACGTAGGCTGGACAGATCGACACCATGGAATGACTGCTGGTACCTATAAAGGACAACCATCACGTTCACAGGGGGAAATATTATTCCACGCTCTACACGGTGTCCGTAAAGAAACACAATTCAACAACGGTTTGAAATGGGTCAACAAAAATACACATACATAGTTGGTATATTTCATCGAAAGCATTTCATTTGTCTATATGTCACATGTACCACATCAATATTTGAGTCCCAGGTGTTTGCCAAAATATTGGCTGCGATCATTTGGAATGGCTCGGTTTTTCGGTTTCTGTGGCATACGCTTCATGTTTCACATAACCTCAACATTAAACCATGGTGTTCGAACGGAGGATTAATGTATAGTTTATTGATAATGGATCACACCTTTATGGATAACTTAAAGGTACCATTTCATGGCAAATGTGAGGCACTACATGTAACTTAACACATTAATACCATGTTAGGTGAGTTTGTTGAATGAAGATGTCCGAATTCAAATTCATGGCTCTGTTAATCCACTGCTGAAGGCCTCCCTATGCTGCATCACTCATCATGCTTGATCAACCACATTTCACCATGCTGATCAGTGTGGGCTAGTGGAGGTGGGGAGGCAGGCAGGATTGGTACTGGTTCAGATATCACTTGCCAATGATGCTAGCCGTGCCTGGGTATAAAACCAAGGTTGCGAGTAGCGGAGTGCACCAACCACTGCTCCCCAACATGCTTGAATGTATTTGGTCAAATTGAAATTAAGGAACTACATGTAGTATTTTCAGTGTAATTTTCCTTACCAAAATGCAATACCACACCAACACATCCTTAGTTTTAAACTCACCAAATAACATACATGGACGAATGGATGCACTTGTTAAGTTGTTTTTGCCAGTGAAACAAATGCAAAAAAACTGCCGATGAATTGCAATATTACATCAGCTCCCCAAATATCTAAGCATTGAAATAACATGTAAAAAAAAACAAAGAAAATTTTTCACCTTGCACCTAAAGACAATCATTTAGGATTCAATCTCACCAGAAGTTGGCCTTTGAGAATTGCTCCATGTAAAGTTGCTCATCTGTAAACGGTGCCAAGTGGACATCGCCGAGCGTTGGAAACATATTACCTAGACAGCAGGGAAACAAACCAAAGTGCACGATTCAATTATAAAATCCTCATCAATTATCTAACATCCCAATATTACGTAAATAAATAAAAACTACCGTGATGTACATGCCTGTCAGTTAGGGGCATAATGATTCACCCACCTGGCAATTTGATGAAGTCTCACAATTTAATTCAATAATCCCTTTTTTTTTATAAACACCGGTGAACAATAGCACAACTATCAGCTGCAAGGATATGGATCCATTATATGAAAAAATATCGCTCCATTTTCAAGTTCAAATATATTTGCCTGACCAAGTGAGAACTCAATCGGATTGTCTCATGTGCAAGAGTGACACGTGGGATTATGCCACAGATTTTTACCCAATGGGATTTTACTTTGTATCATTATAAAGCACCCACATTTTATCCACTCTTGGAAGAAGACTTCCACACATCTTATGACTATCCATCATGGTCCTGGGGTGCCAATTAATTTTACGTACGGTGGAAAAGTTGACCTCAGAAGTCAAGCAAGGTGATATTCTCTTACCAAGGCGATTCAGAGTGACATTTTAAGATATATTCCAAAAACTAGATTGGAGAAATGGAGGTATAGACATAAGTAGTGAAAGCATAAACAACATATTTACTGATGACAGTCATAACAATAGTAATGAATTACCAAAACATTTGGACGATGGATAAATGAGCAAAAGAAATATGCAGAACAAGTTCACTTAACAAAAGGAAATAATTTGACAACTGGAAAAAAAAAACAGACAGAATTAGGTGTGCATGGCATGATTATAATCCGTATTATCGATTTAGCCATTTAATGCTACATCATTTCTGCTAGCAGACATTGGCAAAGGGAATTTGCAATCTATCCTCTTCCATTGAATGACTTTGGCCTTTCCCTTAGTAAACACAGATCAGGGGCAAGGTACATACAAAGACACCTGCTTCAGTTCAGCCGTACCATTTGGCTTGAGCCACTTCTTGGCATGCAGGTAGCTCTCCAGCATGCGCTCGTTGAACAGCATGTACCCCATGGGCTCCGAGATGATAACGTCCACCTTGTCTGGGATGGACACATCCTCCACCTTCCCAGGGATCACTACAATCCGATCCTGCAAGTTGTTGCTCCTCACCAGTACCTGGAGCAACGTCATTAAATAACCATACATTTTAAACATTAGATGGGTATTTTTTTTTTTAAAAACGTTTTTAAAAGAGTCTGAACAAGTTTTTAGCCTGCTGTTAAAGTCAATTGTGTGGGCCCTGAAAGTGCCAAGAGTACACCAGAGATGGCACGAGTTCATTTTGTTCTTGCACCATTGAATTGGACCGCCTTTCATTGAGCAGCTGTTTCAGTGCATTGGCTTTACAAGAGAACCACCCCAACAGAAACGTCATCTCCAACTTGCCCAGCCCCCACAATCCCTACCCTCCAAAAAAAAAAAACCTAAGCCAGACTGTTGCATTTAAAACTAACATTTGATTGGACACCGCATAATTCCCTGCCGGAAACGTTTGTGTTGCGATGATGCAATTTTGCACTCTTGTGGCATTGGGAAAGTAGTACCGCACCTCAGCATGCTGTGCCATGCTGCTTGCCTCCACTGCATACACCTTCCTGGCGCCGGCCTGAACGGCGAAGAAGGAGAGGATCCCCGAGCCACAGCCCACGTCCAGAACAATCTGCCCCAACATAAACAGTCGGTTACAAATGCCTACTCGGCCATACATAATAAAACAGTGCAAACCTCATTTATAATGCAGCAAACAAAATTTAAACATTATGAATATAGTAAAAGGCCTCAGCCTTGTGGTAAAGCAGTTTACACCTGACCTAAGAGCACAACTCTTGTTTTTTAGTCCGAGAAGGCCAAAAGTTGGATGAACAGCAGTGTGGTGCAGATGACAATACCTTATCTCGGAAGTCGGCATGGTTCTGAAGGATGGCCCTCTGGTATGTCCCTGTGCGGATATAGTCTTGCATCATGTTTTGCTGCTGCGAGAGGTACCCGTAGAACTGACAAGAAGAGGTGAGATAACAGATAATGAAACAACAATGACCATTATATCTTGTAAATGGATGCATAAAGACTTTAAACCATTGACAAGTGCTTTTCCTAAGCACATCGATCTAACTGCTTATGTTTATCGCTGGTTACTAAAGGGGCCATTTGTGTCAGCTAGAACGATCAAATGCAAAGTTTAATTAAATAAAAATGTAATTGAACACTTCCACAAATCCAATAAGTTAATGTTTGCAAAAAACATGAGCTACACATGCATGTAGTAAATTTGTTCAGTGGAATTCACCTGGAAATACTGCACAGCAGAAGACTCCTCTGTTCTTTCACTAAACACAGACCTCTCCACACTTCGTCCCTGACATGACTTGAGTAGGTTCATGAATGAGTTGAAATCTAAGGAGGCAGGCAAGTCGGGATACATGTTCGTAAAAGGAACTGTACCACAAGTAACACGAGGTTCATTGCTCGAGTTTCTTAAAAGGATTCTAAAATCCTTTTGAGAAACATCACAGCCACTCTCCAAGAATAAGATTTAAAAAAATATTTAGCAAAGTGCTGCATAATATTATCCACAAATCAGACATTGCCAAGGGATGCAAATGGTATTTAAGGACACAAATGTATTCAGAAGCATACCGGGCTGCGAGGCGAAGTGTACAAGCACACTGTTCTGCCCGAGGGTGATGAGGAACGCCTGCTTGCTCACTCGGCAACACTCGGTGTCTCTGCCGACCATGCATTTGAAGACACAAACACCACCACCTGCAACAAGACAAACATGCCCTCTTGTAGAATTAAAACTTTTATTTCTCCAGAAGCACAGATGACTTCACGTTGGATTAAAGCACCACCACCCCCCTATGCTGTATCAGTCAAAGGGGGGTTGCCGACCACATGTTAACGATTTGGTCAGTGTTGATTGGTGAAGGGGATAATCCAGGACCCATGACGATATTTTTCGCCATTGATAATAGCCATGGCTGGGAATAAAACTCATGTCACCAGAACATCATGTATTAGCTGCTATTAGGACAGACACCTGAGAAATGTGCAACACATACATTTGACCTTGCGATTAATTTTCTAACGTTCAATACTAACCAATGTATCCACACTCACAGACCCAATTGCAGAGCTTGAATATTTATTTTCGATAAAATTTTACTCAAGTAGTAACTAACAGTGCCGGAAACGTTAATCACAAATGGCATCCAGCACTTGCCAGACGATAGATTGGTGCACTGCACTAGTACTAAACCACTGTCGGTTAAAGGCGGTTGTAACGGGAAAGTATAATTGACAATATCACCACCGATAAAGTGCAACGACCGCTTGTCAAAACCACGGCTGGATGTGGGCCTACCCAGGTCGCCGTGCGCGTCGTGGGGGGGGGGGGGCAATTGACCACAATTGCAACAGGTGGGTCAATGCGGGGTCAAGACAGACGGAGGAGCATTGAGACGTAGGAAAATATAAGCACATTAAAATACTGTGATGGCTTTTGTTACACTGCCCTCTACTGACCACGTAAAGTCTCGCAACCATGGCAATAAGGTACGGTAACACAATAGGCACTGGTTCCGTTTCGGCACGTAACGATACTATTTTGGCCAAATCAACCAATACGTCTTCAATCCAGACTATTATTTTCCACCAGCATGTGTCAGAATTAAACTCCGCACAGTCATCGACTTCGAGTATGGGGCCTGTTAAATATGCTTTTGGGCTGCATGATGTTCTAGGCAAGGGCAGTCCATAGACAAATTTGCAAGTTTATCACAGCAAAATTGCCCAAATATTTATTTGCGATAACAGAATTACTGGCATGGTATGCAAACCCTCCTTGCCAGAAAATCCGCACAACCCTTGGGCATTATTAATCGTACACGAGGGATTGTGACCGCCCGCTTACATTGCACCACCAATAACGGCCGCATCAACAGACGGTTCACAAATCAATCACGCTCGTCTAAATAAATCGCACCCATCATCATCATCATTGGTACCGGCAGTACAGAACTCATTTAACATTATATAAAAAAGCTATCCCTCGTCCAGTGCGACCGCCTATTGTTTCCGATACAAAACTCGCCGAGGCATTTACGGTACTCGCCGAGGGCCAGGGAGTATAACAAAAAACGATGTGAAATGTGTCGCCCTAATCAACAAAGCGGGCAGTTTAACTAACAAGCGACTCGTTAATAAATGTACCGAGCCCCCTCCCAGGGTGGGTGCGAGTTAATTAGCGTGCCGGCTCTCTGGGGGGGGGAGAGGCCTGGTTCAGGCTTCGCCGCGGTCAATGGGCGCACGCGGGCCCGGCGATTGCCGAACCGCGCCGTCACGCACCGTTGTACAGCGTCACCCCGAGCGAGTCGCCGCCTCCGCCGGTCGCCTTGGCCTCGAGGCGCAGGTTGGCCTCGGGGTTGCGCTGCACGCCGCCGCCGTTCTGCTCGCCCACGGCCGTGAGCCGCACGCCCTGGAAAGACGCCGCCATGACGCCCGCGGGGCAAGCGAAACGGCGCGCGCGTTTTATTGGGATGCGGACAAAAGGCGTCTTCCGGTAGAAGGGGGAAGACGTCTTCCGGAAGATGGAGGGAGGGGGAAGGAGAAGACGTCTTCCGGTAGAAGGGGGAAGACGTCTTCCGGAAGATGGAGGGAGGGGGAAGGAGAAGACGTCTTCCGGTAGAAGGGGGAAGACGTCTTCCGGAAGATGGAGGGAGGGGGAAGGAGAAGACGACTTACCGAAGATAGGGGAAGACGTCTTCCTGTAGAAGGGGAAGACGTCTTCCGGACGATAGGGGAAGATGTCTTCCGGTGGAAGGGGATGGGGGAAGATGTCTTCCGGAAGGAAGAAAAATTATATATTCTTGGTTTCGATTTAAAGCTTTCGTGACTGGCAAGTTACCCTTTTTGGATGTCTTAATTAAAAGGAGACCTGATGGTTCAATGAGCCACTCTGTCTACAGGAAAGCTACCCATACGGATGCTTACCTGAAACCGGATTCCCACCACCATCCCAGAAGAACTCCCTCATCAAGACTCTATTCCATAGAGCCCAATGCATTTCCGACCAGGAACACATTGCCAGTGAACTCAAGCTCATACACCAAGCTCTTAAAGCTAATGGTTACTCCGACTACACAATCCGCAAAGCCATCACTCCAGCCATGAAGAAGGATCCTCTTGAGGAGCCATTCAAAACCATCACCTTACCCTACATTTCGGGGGTCACAAAAAATATCTCCAAAATCCTGAATAAACACAAGATCCAGGTCCGATTCAACACAGTACATAAAATCCATGATCTGGTTCCGTCTGTAAAAGATGTGGTCCCAGACATACAGTACCCGGGCGTTTACAAACTAAGTTGCCTGTGGTAGCAGCTACATTGGAGAAACCAAACGACATATCTCGGACCGCATCCGCGAACATGAAGCAGACTTGAAACACGGTAGAACGAACTCCTCAGCCGTGACAGATCACTGTTATAATTCAGTGGGCTCACATGACATTGACTTCTCCAAGACGGAGGTTCTCTGCAAGCCATCCGGCTACCATGAGAGATTCGTTCATGAGGCTATCCACATATACAAACACAGAGACAATTTCAACCGAGAAGATGGATTCTGGCTTAGTAACCATTGGAAAGATTTTGATTTAAAGCTTTCGTGACTGCAGTAATTCATATTCTTAGTTTTTTCGGTAAAGTCACGTTGAAGAGAAACAACAAAATAACAAAATATATATAAAACAATAAAAAATTCTCACGACGTTTCGACCATAACTCAAACGGTCATCATCAGGTGTGTTATGGTCGAAACGTCGTGAGAATTTTTTATTGTTTTATATATATTTTGTTATTTTGTTGTTTCTCTTCAACGTGACTTTACCGAAAAAACTAAGAATATACATTGGAAAGATGTTATAAACCATTTCGGTTCTTAATTGATTATATTTTACGGTGACCTTCAGACCGAAGTCCATTCGCTGGCACTGCCTCTTAATACCTTTCACACGACTGTCAATGGTATGGTTTATAGCATGTGGTATAATAATGAATAGTATAACATCGTAATGTTTAACACAATTCATATGACAATATATAGTATCGTAATTGTATTGTGAATATACAGCAGTGTGACATAGTGGGGTTGATAAAATAAGACAGTGTAAAGTTTCAAGTCTAATATTTGATAGTCTAAAGCATAGGGCAGTGTATAGCAACGCATTGTATAATTCAAATGTGGAAATTTTGTCTATGGATATGATATTATATCATGTAGTTTAGATTAGAAGGTATAATATTATATTGTATAGTAGTCTAGTTTATAGCATAGTTATAACGCAACACAGGACAGAGCAGCGCACCTATCCTATTCTTTTTTCTTTCCTTTTTTCTGTGTACCCGCCGCCACCCTCCTCCGATCCGGTGGTGGTACTGGGTAACATGCTAATTCATATATTAATTCCGACCACACAGCTTAAAGTCGCTTTTCCTTCTGCTGTACCTTAAAAAGCCATATATACCGTACAATAATTTTCAAATGTTTGCAAGACAAGTTATTGACCTTGCTACTCTTGCTTGTCGTTAGTGGCAGGAGTGGCACCACACTGACTGCTTGGAAACCTCCTGCTGAGTCGAGTCGCGTTTGACCGTCACACAGGAGAGTAAAATTGAAACGTCATTCTGGACCTTAATATGTTTGCATGCAAAATGTTGGTGCATAGCAAATGTATATATTTTTATACTAATACCCGCAGTCTCGTGTATGCATTAACCACACCACAATGATGAAATATTCTTCAAGGTTTTTGCTATGAAAGAAGAATAGTGACTGCCTGTTGTGTGTAAGATAAGGCTGCATGGGATATATGTGTGGCGCCATGGGGAAACACAAGGGAAGGGAAGTAATTACCCCGCCCATTCCTGTTCATGATATTTTTTAAATTAAAGTTGACATTACATTTTGATTTAAAGCTTTCGTGACTGCAGGGATGCTGTGGTTTTCACACCTGACAATTGCTTGTGTTGCAGTCGAAACGTCGTGAGAATTGTATTGTTTTATATTTTTATTATTTTATTGTTTCCCTTCTACGTGACTTTAGCGAAAGAACCAAGAATATAAAGTTGACATTGTGAAATGACCACTGTACACGCATGTACCAAGCATGACAACGTGAAGCAGAGATGGCTGCGATGAAAGTGTTCAACTTTTATTTTGGTAGAAACCATCGAACGGGCCATGCCTCATCATTACAGAAGTGTAACATTATGGTCTAAAAGTAAACATTCACCTGTCAATGTGATATGGCACGTGTGCCTTTATCGTAACACGTGGGATTGAATTTTACACCACGTGACGCCATTTGACAATATTGAGTAATTAACACATCATGGTCAGTATCCACGAGTAATGATCTTGTTTTTGAAGTGAGAAATCCCACCCCAGTGTCCCACAGCTGGCTCTGTGGTGGCTGCTGCTATTGAAATGGATCCAACGAGGAGCAGCATCACCTGAGCCTTGGGTCAAACAGCAGCAAACAGCGTCCAGAGACGGGCTCTGACCTCATGACCAAGGAGGCAAATGCTGCACGGGTTGAGACGTCCATTGTTGAGACTCTTCGACTTGTATGAATGAGCGATACACTTTTTTCCAAATGCTGTGCAGTTACTTTTCTGGAGCCGAGTATTTCCATATAACATTGTTTTAGTTCGGTGGTGTTATTTACTTGATTTAAATTAATAATTTTGAGTGTCAACATTCCAGTTTTAAGATGGTTTTGTGCATATTTAACATGCAAAATATAGGAATAATCTGTTATGGTTCGTAATCTTTCAGTTGTGTTCAAAAGCAGAAGTAACATAAAGTGTCCTGTGCTCTTCACACGGAATGCGATATAATGAGAAATCCATCAGGCTTGAGCTTCAAATATCAAGACGTGAAAACAAAACGCGTGGCTATTTAAATGATCTTTAGCAATTTCCAGCTGTGATTAGTGTCTCTCTGAATCGGAGTTTGCCACTATAAATTCAACAGGTGTAACAGAGACTTATTGTGTGAATGGGTTTTTACCTTGCAAAACAAGGAAATCTATATTTTTATTCGGTTATATTGTTCAACTTGATGTTCTAAAACAAGTTGTAATTCTGCTTTGCTGTACTTAAAAAAGCCCAAATGAAAAGCAATGGAACTTGTTCCATATTCCTGCAGTTCTCTTTACCAGCGAACCATCACGTCATCCCTGTTCTGACTCAGATGGAGGACACGCACAGTAGTCGCAACAGTGACCATGTTAGCTGGGAGAAGGGCCGGTTTTAGATGTCTTTACCCCCGGAACACCGGATCAGAGAAGACCTCCCTCCCCTTCTGACATTAAAACAACGTCAGACTTAGCACTTAATGAAGCTCGTATTGGTCATGTTATTCTTGTTTAAACAATTATACAGAATTAATAAAGTCATATTTCTGAATACAGATTTTGTTTGATATATTTATTTGGCCTCTGTCGTTTTGGAGGCTGGACAAGTGTGCCATTTCGCTGCACGCTGATGGGGCCCTGCAGCACTCCTCAGCCTTGGGCCAAATCTGTAAGTATCCACAAGTAATAATCTTGTTTTTGAAGTGAGAAATCCCACCCCAGTGTCCCACAGTTGGCTCTGTGGTGGCTGCTGCTATTGGAATGGATCCAACGAGGAGCAGCATCACCTGAGCCTTGGGTCAAACAGCAGCGAGCCGCGTCCAGGCAGGGCCTCCGACTTCATGGCCAGGGAGCCGCAGGGCGCATGGACGCACACCACCAGACTTGACGTGCACGGACGCGAATTTAACATGCATGTTCCAAATGGTGTCAGGTGACTCTTTTATACCTAAGCACGTTCATGGTCATTAATGTTAGTTATGAATTCGTATTTTTATTTAGGTCAATAAATGTATTTTTGAGCACGATAACAGTTGTAACATTTCTTTTTTTATTCGGCGCTGAAACAGTAAACGGAAGCGTGACGATGAAGTCGTGCTATAGAGAGAGGCTGGGGTTTGGTTTGGGAGCTGTGGTTGGAAGTGAAACCTCAGCGAGCTGTGGGTGGGATGTCGCCACACTTCAACTGAAGGCGGCAGCAGGAGCGACATAAAACGTGGTGCGTGCTGAGAACTGAGCAGACGGCGCCGTGGCTCTGAGCCATGGACACGGAGACGAGGAGACGTGCGGTGTGGATGAGTGTTGTCATCTGCATCTTGTCCCGCATCAGTGAGTTATTGTTCGCGTGCTGTTATACACCACACTGTGTATACGTACAGTATGTACGTTCAACTTGTTGCTCACCGTACATTTCAAAACCGTACCGTAGTGTTCAACACTTTATAATTTTGCCGTTTTGTCGTTTCACTTTTGAAGCGAGTGTTAATTTACAGGCTTCCCCCAGAGAATATTTTGTTGCTGTGGGACAGGAAGTCACCTTGACGTGTGACAGAAACACTCCAGGATGGTCACAGCACGACAATCCCAATATCAGCTCTATCACCTGGAGGCGGCGTGGTGAAGGCAATGGAGCACCCGATATGGATTTAACAAACTCACGAGATTTCAGGATAACAGTCATTAAGGATGTTGATCAACATCGGGTTTCTATCCGAATCGCAAATGTGCAGCACAGTGACGCTGGGGTTTACCGTTGCCTGGTTAAAAGCGAAGTTGGAACAGAGAGTCCCATGATGGAAATTATCACAATGGAAGGTAAGGAAATGTGTTACACTATATTGCACAAGCACCCTTCCTGTATGTATGATTATTTGTCGTACATTTTTAATGGTGATATTATTTCATCACATTGTATCCGTGAAGAACAAGTTGTGGTGTGAACGCTGCAAAGAGTTTACACGAGGGTGATGCGTGGCGCTGGTACTGCACGTGAGGAGCCATTCCACTGCAATGCCACCGGCAGATTGTCCTCGCTGCCTCACGTCCTCTGCCTCACCGTTGCACTGCGACTCGTGGAGGTGACACGGCACAGACTTCCTATCGCTCCCACAGTGGCATTGCACCCAGAGTCCTGTGCGGTGCTCTCCTAGCGAAGCCGCGCGTTTGCTTGCAGGAGTGTCAGTGTCACAGGTGACGTTGGTACTGATGCAGGCCCCTCACACCGACCACTGTCACACAGCCCGTCAGGTCTCTGTGGTGATGGGGGACCGGTTAGGAGTCGCCCAGACTCGCTGAGTGTCGCTGCTGTGGTCTCGCCCACAAGAGGAGTAGTGGAGGAGTCTGGAGCACGGAGTCACTGCTGATGTCTGAGTTTGTTTTACTGCTTTTGCTTTCTTTAGTTTCAGGCAACCCATCCCGCTCTGTGACAGAAGGAGAGACTGTCACATTGACCTGTCTCATATCAAACAGTGGCTATGGAACAGTTCTAGTTTGGTATCATGGTGACATTTACATTGACCAAGGCAATTCTGTGCTGATACTGAACAAAGTAAAACGATCTCAACAGGGACAATGGAAATGTGCTATACATGACCAGCAAAACAGTCCCTTTGCCTCGTACAAATTGCAGTTTAGATCAACTGGTAAGTCTACTTTTATATATATATTTAAGTGTACTGTTATTACCTTTTGTGTTTTATTATTGAGAATTTAAATCATTTTAATGTAAAATGTAACAAATACACATTTACATGTTGTACATGTTTTGATAATTACTGTGCATTGGTTAATTCACTGCTGTTTCTTTTATAGGAAGTCATGTTGAGAAGGCACCCGCAGTGCAGAAATATTTCATACACGAGGGTGGGGAGGTCTCTTTGTCATGTGATGAATCTGATCCTGGATTTCAGTGGAAGGATCATTCACAGCGGACACGCGCTGTCACTTGGAAATGGAGATCGCATGATGGCACAACACAGCGATATGATCAGAACATACAATATCCATCGCAACCGTCTGATTATAAAGATCAGTTTCCTTTAGCATTGTCGACAGTTACGTTTTCACGTGGTGGGGTTTACACATGTGAGTTTACTGGCTACTATAGGACAGGCACCCTCACAATGGAACTGGTCACAATGAAAGGTACGGTAATATTGAGTCATATAAACTAAATATATTCATAAAAATTGTTACTAATTTCTGTTACAATAATGTATTAACACGTTTCAGCATGCTATGAAAATGAAATGTCGGACGATATTGTTCATGATTGTGACGTAAATGCCGTAGTGAGTTTATGTTCACGTGAACGATTGTTACTGCTGCTGCACATACAAGCTGTCATTGCTGTAGCATTCAATATTGGATGCGCATCATCTGATTCTCATTGCCCATCATGCCATCGCCCTTGCAGATGAGAGCCTAAGTGTTCCGTCATGTAAACGGTCGTGTCACAGCCACATTCACGGGAATATTCCCGTGTTTTTTAGTTGCGGAACTGATATATTTTACAGTTATTGCTTTCCCCAATAAAAATGCAGTTGCACTGGTATTAGATTAACATGTTTTATTACAGTGATGTAGTCCAAATTATTGAAGAGACATCATACAATAGATATGTATAGTGTACTTACGTATATTTACACAATATTTCATGCTAATTAAAACAGGTCTAGTTTTTTTCAAGTTGCGATATGGAGAGTTCACGTGAGAATGACGAGTAGCGCAGCTGCTGTTGGCCATTCAGACTCCTGCTGTGAGTTCACGTTCACAATCAGGTTTTAGGTCGAGGGATTTGGGATTAGGCAATTCCTGGGCCATTGCTTCTCGTGATCAGTGGACACGTGGTCTCCTCTTCACCCCTTCACCATCCCCACCCTGGAGTCTCTGTGCTCTGCTGCTGTAATCACGATTAGAGGAGCAGTGCAGGAGGGATTCCATGATCTCAACTGCGCTGTGAGGCCTCCAGGCTCATATCTCCTGGAATCTCAGCACAGATGTGGATTCCACGTGACCAGGGATAGGCCATACCTCAAAATTCAGAATGTGTTGTGCTATAGTTCGGACTGCTGAGTCAATGAGCCGTAAATATGTATTCTTGTTTCGTGTTATTTAGTTTCATCCAACACATCCAACACCGTGGCAGAAGGAGAGAGCATCAGTCTGACCTGCCAGCTCTCTAACGACTCCTATGCACACATGGTCAGATGGATTCACAATGGGATTGAGATCAGCCATCAAAGCAGCCTCGTGTTGGTTAAAGTGAAGGCTGCTCAGAGTGGGTTGTTGAAGTGTTCCCTGAAAAGGGAGAGTGGAGAGATCTCAGAGGTAGCGTACAATTTGAACGTGCGGAAAATTGGTAAGTACACATCTCACCAAACTTCAGTTCCATCATAAACACACTGCAATCACATACTGAAAATAAATACTCTCATCAAGTGTGTTACGTTTCATCCTATACATATAAACTGCAGCTATTGCCATCGTTCTAAATTGAAAATGAAATTAATACACATGAAAGAAGACTCTTGCCCTTATCTTTATCCACAAGGTAAGGTATTTATTTCACGACACGGGTCCACACCTTCCATCTCGCTCTCTCTCCTACAATGCCCCGAACTCCGACTCCAACTCCCTCTTTTAACCTCTTTCTGGTTCCGCACCTCGTCACACTCCGTGTCCACCAATCATCACCTCTCTTACCCTCACCTGGCCTAACCATCCCACCTGACGCTCACCCAACCCTCCAGTTCTTTTCCCTTTTGAACGTTCCGAACAATCCCCTTGCTCTCCTGTGCCCTAATCAATCAGAGCGTGGAGTGTTTACTCCAGACTTCCAGATTCCTCCGTCTCAGGGATCGTGTGGGACAATCACTACACACATCGGACATAAAGTTAAATTGACTAAAGTAATTTGTAAGCTTAACACAATTTCCATGCTTATACCTTCAGGTGCAAGGTGTGTAGCTGTATTGTGGCATCCTGTTTGTTTGGTAATGAAACCATTGTTTTAACACGATCTGCAGGTGCAGAGCAAAACGCACCTAGGAATTACGCGGCTAAAATTGGTGAAGGAACCACGTTGCCCTGCACCGAGTCTGACCCTGGGTTTGTGTGGAGGAGCTCCTCCAATGAGTCCCGTTCGGTCACCTGGTACTGGAGGCCACGTGGTGACAGCACAGTCCGTACGATACTCGCGGCCCACCCAGCCGGACCTCACGCTGCATTCAGTTCCCACCTCAACTCCCACGTGAACATCTCGTCCTCCGCTTTTGACGACGACGACTTCTCTCTGACCATCTCAGTGGTGAATGATGATGCAGGGGGGGTTTACACTTGTCAGGTTGAACGATATTTCCGATCATGGCAGTTGGAAATGGAGTTGATTACGTCACAAGGTACAAGACTTCCCATTTTTGTCATGGAAAACAAACACTGTGCTCTCTTGTTGATGCTCTAAATTGCGGCTCCCGGTTTTACGATGTAATCGCTGGCTTTCAACGTTACCTTGCAGATCGGGAAAGTTAATTTCAACCTAAAGCTCTTGTTACGTCATATTACATGACTGTGAAACGCGTTTGAATATATATTAATGAACAACTTTCAATCTATGAAAATATAAAATGTGTTTATCAAATGACTTAAGTTATTTTATCGTCTCTTTAGTTCATGCATTATTTTGTATTTCGCAACAGTGCCAGGGGCATCTCCGTACGTGTCGGTTGCTGTTGGTGTGGTGCTGGCTGTGCTGCTCTCTGCTGGAGCTGCTGTTGTTGCAGTGGTGGGCTATAGAAGAAGGAAGCTCAATGCAGGTCATTGGCACCACCCACCACTCTACAACCAAATAGCATTCCTCACACTGAACCCCAATCACCCAACACATTTTGTGTAGCTCCCTTAAGGGTCACTACAACCGCATGTCATTTAATTCATGGAGGAGGGGGTTACCCTCTGGCTGGGATCGCTGTTGATGTCGGCATTGCTGCTGTGTCTCTATGTGTGGCCGTCAGCCTTGTGTGCTACACACAGCAACACTCGTGCAGGTGTGAGACCATCCACACGCCACTGCCAGCCATGCCTCCTCCTAGCAGGGGAAACAGCTCTCGTTTATTATGACCCAGCCGAGAGCCACTTGAGAAGATGCCATTGAGACGCGTGTACACTGTCTAGGTGTAAATGTTGGTAAACTTCTTAAGAGTCCTGGGCAATGGAAGAAAACGGAATATTAAAAATGCGTGCCAGAATAAAATGAAACGTTTGGTATTCAAAATAAATTCAGTAGCGTGTGCTGTCCACCACAGTTTTAATAGCACGTGGTCTATGTGTTC